CTCAACCCAACCTGGAACTTATGTTATTTGAATTTCTAAAAATGAATGAATACTTAGAAATATGTGAATATACTCTACATTATTTTGTTCAACTCACATTTGTCACTTTGTATATGTATGTATTATTCTTGTTAATTCGTTTTTATGTCATGACTGTATGCCGACATGGTAATTGTCAATAAAGTGAATTGAAATACGTGCAAAAAAAAATGGTGAGGAATCTATCTTCGCTATCCCATCTGTGAACTCTGTTCTGGGCTAAGAGGACACGCATTTCACAAATTTGTAAACAACAGCTTGCTTCCAAGATATCGAATGTTTAGGAATAATTGATTTTTCTAAGGTACATTATGTAATAAGTGTTCAGTATATTAACCCCGATCCTAAAAAAATAGAATTTATATACAAGGGTAAGTATCCAAGGAGGCTAAATACTTTGTAGATTTGTTATCCATTTTTTTTCAAATAATTTCCATAGCAACGCTTTACTTTTTAGAATAAGTTTTAAACTTTCAAAAATGTAAACATTTAGATTATCAGTGATTTTGCCTTTAAATTTTTTTTCAAGTTACATGTATATAGAAATGTGCTCCCTAAAAAGAAAAAGACAGATGAAAAAATATGAAAAATTAAATAGGAATCACTGTGTTTATTATTGTCATAGCAACTAATAAAAACATCACATTTGTTACAAGGATCTTTCTCAATTAATTGGTCATTGATTGATAAAACAAAACAAAACAAAAATACAAATTATAAAATTAAAATGATTTCTGTCAATTTATCATCATTGAAAAAAAATGAATGGTCAAATCAAAGCCATTCTGGAAATTTTAAGATACGTAGTTCTTCTTAAAAAAGGCTTGTTCTTCTTTTAAAAACATGCATGCAAGGACAAGTTTGCAAGGACCTATCTTGAACATTAACTAAACGTATATGTGCAAAACACAGAAAAATAAAATAATTGAGTCATTAACAATGTTCTATTAATTAGTGCATTTATTTAATGCAATTAGTTTCAAGTACTAAATGATTTAAAGTTCGTAGATGCATGCATTTGTTTCAATCTGGACAGATGAACCAATTTATATGATATCCATAACCCAAATATTGGTATTCAACACTGAAATGAACTCAGTTCTAAACTTCAAGAAGTTCTCATATTGCTTTGGCAACTCCAACAAAGATGAACACGTGTGGGCTACAGGATGACGTGCAAGGCCTTCGACTTTTACAAATGAAACTTCAATACATTTTTCTGTAAGAAGATCGGCACCGGTGCAGAATCTCAAAAAGCGTTTCAGGAGTTCGGAGTCCATTTCTCTTATAAACCGTTTCAAGTGATGAGATGTGGCTGTGGAATCCTCTCACATATTTTCAGGAAATTTAAGAAGACTTATCACACGTCTAGGAGTTGGAATCAAGTCTCTGTACAGAGACTGCAACTTGTCCTGAGGTAAATGTATGTCTTTTAAGATTGGACTCCAGCATTCAATAACAAACATTGCAGTTTGCAGCAACTCCTTGTGAGCCATTTCCCGTAGAATGCGTTCCATGTTCGCCTGTCTTGGTACTCGTTTAAGCTCATGCTGGGTAAAAATATCATCAAGGTCTGATTGGTCTACGGAATTGACATCCTTTAATGCGGCTTGCAGCGTTTCTGCGTCGTTTTTAGGGATATAATGCATAAATGCATCTAATAAACCATCGTGAAAGGTTCCAAATAAGCAATACTGCATGAATACAGGAGAAATTTGAACCGGAAAATAACTGACAGTTTCCCATCCAAAAACAATAATTCTGGCCACAGATTTCCATTGTTCCTCACCAAAATCATGCCTTAAACATGGGATTTTTTTCTCATTGCCAAGTGTACATTCCGTATAAAAGGAACTCCAAAATTTAGCTAAAGCATCCCTTGTTACTCCACCAGCATCCTCAGCCACTTCCATTTCACCGTTTGGCATTAATATTTGAGGTTTGATTATACTGTTTGTCGTGTACCCTTCTATCTCGAAAGCTTCAATCATTTCTCTCATAACCTGACCTCTATGTAATTTCAAGATATGTTCCGTTATTTGAACATTTACAGTGTCATTATTTGCAACGTCTGCATAATTATTTCCGGATGCATTTGAAAGACTCGGGTTTTCTCCTATGATTCCAAATAAATTAGGTATATCATCAAATCCAAATTCCTGGTCATTTTCAATTCCTGCTATCTGTATAGCTTCAGACAGTATATCATTTGAAGATTTTTCATCTGGACTCGTCGAAGATGCTGACTGTTTGGATGGACTATAAAGATCGGGAAGTGAATCCGTGTCCATATCATCATCCAGATGTTGTCTGACGATGTCCTCTTCGAGTTCAACTGAAGCTAAATAAAATCTAAGAATGGGCATTTTGGTGTCTTTATACATTTGGCCAACCGTCGAACTTTCATCCATACTTCTATCTTGATAATCCCACACATCAAAATCGAATTTATTTTGATTGCCTTTGGAGGACTCTCCATTTGGTAAAAATAGCTTTTTCCCCATTTCTAACAAATCCTTTTTTGTTGCATCTTTGTTTAGTGTCAGTCTTCTTGTACCGCCTCCCTTCTTGCTCCTAATCTGAACACTTTCCCCATTTGATTTGTGTAGCCAAATCGTCTGTTTGATTCCCTCATTTTTTTTTCTTTACTGCTTTCAACGCCTTTCTCACCTTGGTTTTGTCTTGTTTCTATCTTTCGAAGACACGCGATCAGTTCACTGAGGTATTTTCTTACTCTAAGTCTTTCCCCATGTAGAGGAATATATTTGGAGAGTTCCACATCTGTCATTAATGCTATAAGATCTGGTCCAATCTAAAAGAAAAAAGGAACGAGATGACCAGATAGACAATTGCTTTTTATGAACATATCTCTGAAACTTCGATGTGCACTAAAAACTTTCAGAATACTTTTAAAAAAGATAATTTGATTAATTTTTCCAAGTAATACATGTACATGTAACAACCACACAGATAACATCAGAAAATGTTATACAATAAACAAGAACCGGCATTAGTAATCTTATAAATCTTTCAATAGTACATGTATCTGTACATGTATTAATGTTTGTTGCTTTGTTTTGTTGTTGTTGTTTTTACAGTAGGAAATTATGCCCATTGTTGATATGTTGTATTCAGTTTCCTCAAGATTTTTCAGTCTATAAAACATTTTATGTTTATATACATGGATTTTAAAATATGAAGGGAAAAAATTATTAAATGTGTGTTTACTGATATTACCCTGAAAATAAAATGAACATTGGTCTGCATGTATATTTCTTTTTCCACTTTATCTTTAAGTTAAACATAATACTTTTTACAGCAAAATATATAAGAGTTTAACATCGCAATGTTAATTCTAAACTAAAGCTAGTTCGATTTTCCGTTCATAAATATACATTTACATTCACTGGATATTATTCCTTTATTTCTTAGGTGGTATAATCGATTTATTTAAAGCTATATATGGCGTATCTGAACTAAAAAATAAAAATACGAGACTAAGTGTAGATAAAAATGATATATGTTATTTACGTTCAAATCAAAATTTTCACCGATTTTGAACTTGAATAACTTCATGTTTCTATAGTTTTACTAGTGCCTGTAATTTAAATGCGGAGTCGGTAAATAAATCAGTTATTGATTTAAATTTCTAATATCTTTGAAACGTGATTGACTTAAAATGTGTAATTTATATATATATCTTTATATAAAGTAATAAAACAAATAGAAAGATCTTTTTAATTTTGGTTAGTCTGACCTTATAAAAAAAACGCCATATATGACCTTAAAAGCATATCATGAGTTTTGTTTATATTGTGATGTATTTTTGATTTGTTTATTTCGGGGGAGGGTGGCTACTATATTTTTTGTTTATATATATATCATACGTCTTATATTTTTTCATTTGACTGTGAGAAATGAAGAAGATGGTGTTAAATTAATGTGTACTCTCTGCTGTATGCTTTAAGGATTAAATTAATTTATGGCGCGAGTCCACGAACTTTTAAATAACCCCTTTTGAAATCATGGTTGAAAAATTATCAAGAAATGTACACCCCTCCTCCCCTATGAATTAGTGACTGACACTATCCTATTATAATTATTCTTTAAAAAGCATTATGTGGCACGTTAAGCTCATCTTTAAGGCAGATTTCTACAGTGTATAATTAATAGTCCAAAATAATGAATAATTGCTTTACTACTGGTACAGTTGTGGGGAACTTTTATAATTAAAGCAACAACTTTGAAAATAAAATGACAATTGGAGATCTTCATGAAAAAAAGTTTAAAGTATTTCTTGCATTCTAGAAGTGAAAAACAAAATATATTTAATGGAATATTCATTTTATTAATTAGTATGGTTTTGAGATAGAATGCAAAATTTTCAAGACTAACCTTTTCTTGTATCATTTTCTCTTTGACATCTCCTGTACAAATGTCACTTATAAACTCAAAAAATACGTCGGTGTTCATGTTTCCGCAAGTCAAGATCACGGGTTCCTAATATATACTATTATATATACAATATCGCGTTATAACGCGAAAGTTACGCGTTTATTCGCGAAAGTTTCGCGTTAATGCGAAAGTTACGCGTTTATTCGCGAAAGTTTCGCGTTATAACGCGAAAAATATATTTTTTTACCTACCAAAATGAGCTCAATGGGCTTTCGTATTTGGGAAAGGAGTATGTTTAGGGTTTTTTTTTTTTTTTTTTGCTTGTCAAGACCCCCCCCCCCCTTTCCGGAAAAAATTTCCTGGATCCGCGCCTGTTCCATGCAATAGCTATAAGGTCAAGGTCATACTTTACAAGGTCAGGGTCACAATATGGAGGTTAAAGGGCTTTTTATGAATTTATAGCTTTGAAATATCTGCAATAAAACATAAGAGAGAGTAAAGAAAAAAAATGTGTCTATATCCCATGGAATGATCTAGAGAAACATACTATAGAGTTACCGCCCTTAGTGCGCTCTCTAAGTAACTATGAAGCAAGATGGCTGACACCAGCATGAGTGAGACACCAGCGGACACACAGATCGGAAACGGCGACTCGGCAGAAAGTCTCAGCGAGGAAGTAAAGAAGAAAGCAGAGGAACTAAAAGACAAAGCGAACGAATTCTTTAAAAGTAGGATTTCTTCTCTGTGATAAAATAAAATACATCATTAGAATGGTTGAAAATTTAGCATACATGTGCACTTGAGCAGAGACATATAAAACCAGGCTAAGCTATATAGCTTGATAAAGCTATTTATGTGCAGTTTTTCAGAAAATGTGTTTTGTAAGAAATAGACAAAAAGTCGCAAGTATTTGACAATTCATAGATGTACAGTGGGCTATCAAAACAACAACCGAAATCAAAGATAGTTCTAACATTGCAGCATTTGAATACTTTTTAGCAAAAGATGAATTTCTATTGTTTGAGTAACTGTACACCACCTTGTGTGCGTTGAGGCGTGGATAAGTATGATTGCTTCTCATTGTACTGAATTATTACCAATCAATTATCTTGTTGACCATAGTTGGCCTCTTTTATAATTTCAATGAAGAAGTAACTGTATCAATTGCTTTATATAGCCCCAAAACTTTTAGAACTTTGAGTACAAAGTCTCTTAAGGAGACGTAATTTGATGAGTGATTTTTACATGCATTATTTTCAGAGGAGTTCAAGGTTGAATATTATCACTGCACCAAGGTGCGACTTTTTGTGCATGCTGAGAAAATAACGCATTTAAGAAAAAAGTATGATAAAATAGCTAAATCAAGCTATTCTGAATAGCTTGATAAAGCTTTATAAGCTTTTTCAAGCTATATAGCTAAATCAAGAGATTGTGCCGGACCTGTTGAGATAAATATTGTGTAAAGAGTTGCTATCTTCCTCAATTGAAGCCGTATATATATCATTGATGTAAACAGTCATGGATAGTTTATGTACAAAAACAACTTTCATTAATACTGCAATGTTGGCACTCAATGATTGTACTGATGCTGATATTAAAAAACAATGCTCAGAGTCAGAGGCAACTCAATGGCTGTCCCTTTGCCCACATAGGTGCTCCCATCTAATTGCGTGGACCCTGAGGTCCACGCAGAAAATATGTAAGCGTGGTTAAACCAGATGCCATCAGCTTAATTTGGGTTGTGCATGTGGGAGAATGCTAGTTCGCCTCTAAGACAACTTGCCCTTAGAAGAATTTTCCCTATTCAAATTAGAATACGCCAATCATTGGCAAACCTCGCTTGAAATCAGCACATCATATTTATCTATTAGCGAAGATCCTAATTTACTCATTCATACATATATCCTCATATACAAACTTAAACATTCTATGGTACAAGCATTTTAAAAAGTAGGTAGAACTTACACAGTATTCTCTTTAGAGAAGTGGACAGGCTTTCGCCTACATCCACTTCTCTTCGCAAGCCTTCATGTTTTGATTCTGGAAAATGGATTAACAATACGTAAAGTTCAGTTTTCTTGTGACATTTGTGTGTATTTATGTTAAAATTGTTGATATAACACGTCTATTACGTACATTCAGACGTATTTTATACGAAATGTCAGTTGAAGTGTAGGTCATCACCGGTTCGAGATTTACACTTTTTCCAGAATCAAAACATGAAGGCTTGCGAAGAGAAGTGGATGTAGGTGAAAGCCTGTCCACTTCTCTAAAGAGAATACTTACACAGCTTTACAGCTTGAATTAAAAACTTAATTCAACGACTAGGTTTTAAAAGACCGGCATTAGTTTTGTGCATCCAGGTTCGTAAGGTGATGTCTACCTGTCTACCATGTGAACAAAACTAGATTAACATACTGGATTCCACCTCTCTCACTCTGTCTCATTGGATGAGGGGGGAGGGGGGGTGACGCTATCTATAAATCTGCGCAGTTTTTCACATGTGAATCTCTCAGCTATTTGCAGTTCTTCTGCCGTCAATTTCTCATCGTGGGCGTGGTTCACGTTTACAAGGGGTATATATATCAAGTGTTAAATGCGCTAATAATATATAAAGAAGCACCAAAGTATTTTCTGAATTCATATAAAGTTGTGCAAATTCAATCTATGTCTTTAATTTTTTGATAAGAATGACGAAGAACAGTGCAGTATATAAATAGATCGATGTCGTGGTAGTGTCTTTAATCAGAGAGTGTAGGTGAAGAAGCACACATTGGAGCAAAAAGTATTTGTGTAAATCTTTTTCCCAGAATTCAAAATTACGCAAAGGCACTTGCAGTTTTACCCCAACGTAAATAGTCAGCCTGCAGGCTGACTAACAAGCAAAATAAAAAAAACACAAAAAACTAAAAACCTGTGCACCACACTGTAAAATCCTATTCAGGGGGAGGGGGGGGGGTGGCTTTCTCTAACTTTTTGGTACATTTTTTTTCTTTTAAGTGTTTAAATTTCCTTATTTTGGCCTTCCATCAACAAAAAGTGTGTGTTTGTGGGGGGAGGCGGGGGGGGGGGGGGGGGGGGGGGGAGTTTCCATTAAAAATCAAAACTTACATGTTAAAACTATAGCAAAGGATTATTTTCAGAAAAACTGACCCCCCCTCCCCCACATGATCTTTTAAACCTTTCTCTTCATTGATTAAAATATACTCATAATATAAGGAGAGAAATATTCTCTTATGCATACCCCCTTCATGACTTTTTATGCATACTTCTTAAAGTTAGTTACTTCAGAAGAAAAATGGCATAGCTTAAGTTCACTGGAATCTGCCGATGATATCAAATTGAAATCTTTGTTGTTACTTGTGGGTGGTCGGGGGCCGAGGTTGTGAAGAAACACAGAGGAAAGCAAACATGCAAAACTCCGTCTCGCGAGCAGAAAGGGCAGAGATTGAACTACTTATTTTATTCAAAATATTAGAATAAAAATATCTATATTAATACAGAAAAGAAATCCCCTCCCCCTCTCTTTGCAAAAATAAAGGGGGTTTCCAACCCCCGGACAACCACCCCCCCCTTTCTGGATTCGCCAGTGGAGTTAAAATTCAACTATTATGTTACGTGCATGCTAAAGCCTCGTTTAATTCTGTGGTTAATTTTAAAGGCTACATTACAATTGTGATAGATACCTAGATCAACATTTCATTAAGGCCATGATATTTTTATTATTTCAGCTTATTTAGCAAGTAGACTTAAATAAGGATGAATATTTTTCATTTCAAGATAAAAAAAATAATCTTATCACACCTACATGTATATTCAATAAATCTAGAAATTTTCTTTGGATTTCAGTTAGAAACACATGCATATGGTCCACGTATTGCAGTCCTTTTTTAAAGGAAAGCAACTTGTTTAGTAAATAAAATGTACATTAAGTTTATAGGTATGCAGTATAACACCTTCTATATTTAAAGCAACAAGGGCCAATGATTGCCCACATTGAGAGGAATAATTCTGCATTCATGCAGTTGTAAACTTTAAAATACTAAGTCTTACCAGACAAGGTCATTGAACATTTAACTTGAGCTATCCAAACATGCCAAAAGAGGCCTTATATATATATAATTTGTATAAAGAAATATATATATATATATATATATATATATATATATATATATATATATATATATATATATATATATATATATATATATAAAATAATTAAGGGAGTTTAAAATGCATATGAGACTTAGCTATTCTAATTTGTTACTTGTTTACTCATTGTTTAGGGTCAAGATAAACTGCACTTCTATCATTTAAAATGGTTTGGTTTCAGGCTTTTTTTTTTGGTTCAGAGAGGCTGAGTATAACTGATTCATTCGAGGGTCAAATTAAAAAAGCTCTTGCTCAAGAACTAGTCTATATCAAATATACAATTATTGCTGTTTTTTGAGGTCAATACGATGATTAAGACACCTGAGGAGTACAATATTCACCGACCCCAAAGGGCGAGGTGAATGTTGTACTTTGAAGGTGTCTAAATCATCGTATTGACCTCAAATAACAGCAATAACTGTTTTATTATATGATTATCTATTTTTGGTCAAATGTTAAATAAATAATTCCTTATACTGACCTGGAAATAATTCCTTATATTGACCTGGAAGGTCAGGTGCAGGTCAATATGACATAGTATATTTCTAACAATGTTGGATCACAGCCAATCAGAGAGATGGGAATTATTTAATCATATAATAATGTGTTTTGTTATACATCTTCATTGTTTCAGGGTTTTTAGCTCTATTGGTCAGAGACCAGAAGAGCTTATGCAATAGTAAAAAGTCAGTTATCTGTCTCTTTGTCCATTTGTAAACAATTTTTCAAAATGTAACTCCTCCTACAGTTTTGGTCTGATTTCAATATAACTGAACAAACAAATAGAGATTACACTAATCTACATAATATTATACATCAGTTTTTGATTTCAATTACCCCCATACTGTAAGCTCCACAAATATTATTTGTAATCACCTTTATTTAATTTTCTTCTGTCATATTTTCTCTGTTACACAAGAAAGAGATTATCATTTGCAAAAATTGCACAAAGGGAATGATGATGTTTTATTTCATAAAGAAAAGTTTGGTAAATAAGTAGTGTTAGATTTCACTGAAGATATTTAATTTTCTTCACTTGTTTGATATATCTTTGAGCAACAAACAGATTGTCATTTGTATCTGTACACAGTCCCCAGGGATAATTCAGTCCACAGTCTATGTAACGGAGGAACTGTCCATCCTGGTCTATGATGTGGACACAGTCATTGTTATAAGCAGCTATAAGGATGTGACTCTGACTGTCTGTGGTGATTCCTAGTGGACTGAATGGTTGGTTCTTTAGAGCAGGAGTATGTCCAGTGTACCTGAATCTGAGTTTCCCAGCCTGATTGACCACCACTACTGCTCTAGCTCTATTGTCAGACACACAGATATCCAGGTTCCTGTTCTCAGTTATGTATCTGTAATAGTTACCACATGAATAGAGAGGTTTACCTTTATCATCAAACTGAATTGTTTGTTTTTCTGTGGAGCCAGAGTAACAGACAACTTTTGTTTGTTTTTGATCATCACTGTACAAGATAACCAGGAGGTCACCAGAGGAGGTACTACAGACACCGTCAGGTATCCAGTTCTGTAGTCTGATCACCTCCTCTATCTTCTCATTCTTCACAATGTTCACAGTTCTATCATGGTAATCGGTATAAACCAGATCTCCACTTTTTGTCACTGCTATGTCATATGGCCAGTTCCCTGACTTGGTTGTGATTGACTTGAGTATTGATCCCTGGTTGATGCTGTAGAGTTTCGTGGTGCTGTAATTTCCACTTGTCCAGATTTCTTCATCACTTAGACAGGCCACACTGTAAAGTTTATCACACCCAGTGTCTATGGTGGTGACAGTCTTTGGTTGATCAAGCAGTTGTTTGACTGGAGGAGAGGATCCAGCCTCTGGCGATTTCTGTGTTGTCTTCATGCTATAGCCATGTTTATCTGAAGTTAAAGAACTCGATGATAAGGCTCCAAACAATTTACCAAGTTCTTCTCCAATTCTCCCTGGAGTAAATTTTGGTAAAGAGGGCACCTTTTTCTCTGGAAGATTTCTATATTTGTTTATGTCAAATGTAACACTGAATAGTTTTGAAAGCTCATTTCCATTTACAACAACATCAATTGAATTGATTTCATCCTTGATGTCAGAAATTTTCTTGTTTATTTCATCCAGATGTTTCTGTAGAGTTTGTAGCTGTGTGTTTTTCATCTGATCAACTTCAGCTTTAAGTTTCTTGACAAGTTTGTCAATTTCTCTGTGCCAGTCCTCTCCATGTTTTGTTATGGCTGTTGAGAGATCTCCATATTCCTTTTCTAACTGACTCATTCCATTTTGTACATCAGAGGCAATGTCCTGGTAGGTTGGGTAAATTATGTCATTTAATTCAGTTACATCTTTCATTATTTTGTTTCTTCTTTCATCCACAACTTGCAGAATTTTCAAAAATGTGTGACCTTTGTGTTGATCAGATGCAATGCAACTGATGCAGACAGGAAAGTTGCATTGATTACAGTACATTTCACACCATTCTCTATGAGATGTGCATACTGGGTATTTGGGAGTAGATTTTCGATTTTTGAATGGGACAATTTCATGTTTTTTGGATTCATCAGATATCATATGTTTTCCTACACAAGCTATACACAGGTTAATAAGGCATGTATCACAGTGCATCTGTACCACAGCGGTCTCACACAGGTCACATCGCATCACATCCTGTGCACTGGTACGGGGGTCCATAACTGAATTTATGAATCTGAAAAGGAATATATATCACTATATATATATGGAGTACTGTATACAGGGAAATTTTCGCCTCCGTTTTATTTTCGCCCCTTTCACCCTACACACAAATGGGCGAATTTAAGACTGGGCGAATTCAAAGTAAAGAGTTGAATTTCTTAAAACAGAACTGTGACAGGGCAAATTTAAAACAGGTCAAAATTGTTTGCAAGTGTGAAAGGGCAAAAATAACACGGGGTGAAAATAACCCTGTATACAGTATATGTTACATATTTGGTAATTTAGAATTAGATCATCAAATATCAAGTTTTGTAAATTGTATAACTTCAGATTAAATGAATATAAAACTATATCAGTTTGGTTCAAGGCCAGTTCCACCTTTGATACTAAGTTGAGACTCATTTTGACTTTTGATCAACATGACTACTAGAGAGACTTTAAAAGCTGGTTAGAGTTTTGCTTTTTTGGTGCCCTACCAGTGTTTAAAATAACCGTGCCTCTGATCACCCGAGACACACAAATTTTGCAGCTGGTGAACAAATTTGCATGTATTGCTGCCTGGCTGGGCATGTTAAAATTTTTGATAATTAAAATTCACATATTTGATAAATCGATTTCTTTCATATCAACTAAAAGCATCAGTAGCAAAGTATAACAAGCTAGGAGGAAGAATTTATCAGTCTATAGATTCTGGTTCGAAGTTATGGTGACCTGGTTCCAGTCACATAATCATTAAAAACAAATTTATAAAAGACAATTATTTTCTCAGGCTAGTGAATCTTGATCAGGGCTGACAACTTTTACTAGCAGTCAGCCCTGCATGTCTAGATAATTTTGCAGTGAGTTTCAACACTGTGCCCTACAGTGATCTCTCATTGGTTCATCCATCTTTCTGTTTGACTTGTCCAGAGTACATTTTCTTTCCTTTTGACCCAATTTGGCTTCACCCATAGAATGTCTTTGGGTGAGGAATGGGCAGTGACCTTATTCTTAGATCATGGATAAAAAGGTTAAGGACAAACAGCTCTTAGAGCATGTTTATTCTCCCTTTGGCCCATTCTGTCTTTTATCTCTCCTTATAAATAAAATTGATGAGAGGTTTATTTATAACTTTGAACCAGATTTCTAGGTCAGAGTCAAGATCAAATCAATTCCTTTTGTAAAATCCTTGTATGGAATCTGTCTTTAGATCAATTTTGCCCATACACCTTTGTGATATTGATCCAATATTCTAAGTTAAGCTCAAAACAAGTCTCCATATAAAGTCTTTGTTGATCAGACACATTCTTTCTTCTCAAGTTTACTCACACTTTGTTGAAAGATTGACCTGTGGTAATAAGTGTGTAGTGACCTTGAGCCAAAATGTTATGGTAAGAGGTCAAAGTTGAAGTTTAAAAAAAAACAGGAAAAGTTAACACATCATAAGTTAGATTAACAGAGTTGAGGGGATTTAAGAATCATGTTGTCTGTTTGTCAATGCAGTCTCATTATAATGAAGAATCATTGGAAGCTCATACTTGATACAAAGAGTACTTATGACCTGGAAGTGTGTCTTGATCTTGACTCAAGGCATTTTCTCAACTTCAAGGCCACTGGCAGATTGACAGTATAAAATGTGAGTGTGATCTATAATATCCTATTATAAAGAAACATTGGTAGTTCCTCCTTCATACAGAGATTGCTTATGACCTAAAGGTGTGTTGTGGTTTGACCCAAGGTCATTTGACCAAGTTCAAGATCACTTTAAGACAAAAAAATTTAAGTCCTGACAAATCTTGTAATTGAGAACATTAGTTCTTTATACTTACTGCAAATATTGCATATAGACCTGACCCAAGGTCATTTGGGCAAGTTCAAGGTCAGTGGCAGAAAAAGTATAATTTTTGTCTTGTGCATTACTCTATAATGCATAAATATTGGATGTATTGGATTTTGAACTTAAAACAATGATTATTCCTGAACTGAAAGTATGTCGTAACCTTGACCCAATATCAATTTGGCAAGATCAAGACCATTAGCAAAATTGTGTAAAGTTCATGTCAGGTACATAATTATATAATTGAGAAACATTTCACAAGAAGATTGCTCATGACCAGAGGATGTGTCTTTTTTTTTTATAACCAAGATCATTTTGGTAAGTTCGAGGTCACATTTAGAAAATTGTATATGTATAGCACTTGTAGAAAATTGCAGGAGGGGGTGTAGTTTTGTGAGCTTACTCACAGAACTATCAGCTACATAGTTCTGGTCATCATTCACTCATAAATTTTTTGTGAGAAAAATACAAGCATCAAATTACTCTCCTTGCACTAAGCTGAACACTTTTGTTCATAATAAAAAGTTCATTTCCAAGTACAGTCATTAACAAGTTCCATATACACTACATTAATGTCCTTTAGCTAAAAGTGGACCTTAATAAGATGGTAATCTTTTTAATGGCATTTATAAGTTTTTGTGGTTTTTATTAAGAATTAGATTTTTAAGACACCTGAACCAATCGGATGTTTTATTGCTTTTCATTTTTGTCTATTTTCTTGCATCATGTATGTAAAACTTTTAGCATTAGAAAATTTAAAAATTGAATACTTTATTAGCAGCTGAAATGGTGAATGCTTCAGCAAGTGCGTACTCCTTTTGGGATTCATCATATATTGAGTGCTGTTTTACTGAATAATTTGTTGGAGGGGGAGGGGGGTTAAACTAATTTTACTCCTGGATATCCTTTTTTCAATAAACTTTGAATGTTTTTGAGTCATGACTTATTTTTGAATTTTCAAACTTTGCTAAAAGGCCTGCACCATTAATGTCAGATGAACATATAATAGTTCTATGAAGGTAATAGAAGTAATATCAAATTAGTTCTGTAAGTATTGTCAGATTAATTTAATATAGAAGTTATCTAAGTCCTACCTGTTTTCAGACAGTAATGGTGTCCTGTTGATCAATTCCTCCCTGCGTACTTTGATCACGTGGTATTTGTGTTATCTACCTGTCAGGTATTTTTACTTCCTGGTTTATGTGTACTGAGAATTTAAATATATGTCTATATTATGTTTTTAGCTCACCTGAGCCAAAGGCTCAAGTGAGCTTTTCTGATCAAAATTTGTCCGTTGTCTGTCGTCGTTGTTGGTGTTGGCGTCGTCGTTGTTGTAAACTTTTCACATTTTCATCTTCTTCTCCAGAACTACTGGGCCAATTTCAACCAAACTTGCCACAAAGTATCCTTGGGTAAAGGGGATTCAAATTTGTTCAAATGAAGGGCCACGCCTTCTTCCAAGGGGAGATAATTAAGAATTCATGAAAAATTAATGGCATCATTAAAAAATCTTCTTCTCAAGAACCACTGTGCTTGAAAATATGAAACTTATGTGGAAGCATCCTCAGGTAGTGTAGATTCAAGTTTGTTCAAATCATGACCCCCGGGGGTAGGGTGGGGCCACAATGGGCGATCAAAGTTTTACATAGGAATATATAGGAAAAATCTTTAAAAATCTTCTTCTCAAGAACAGCAAAGCCATGATTGGTCATATTTATATGGTAGCATCCTCAGATAGTGTAGATTCAAATTTGTTCAAATCATGACCCCCGGGGGTCGGGTGGGGCCACAATGGGCGATCAAAGTTTTACATAGGAATATATAGGAAAAATCTTTAAAAAATCTTCTTCTCAAGAACAGCAAAGCCATGATTGGTCATATTTATATGGTAGCATCCTCAGATAGTATAGATTAAAGTTTGTTCAAATCATGACCCCCGGGGGTCGGGTGGGGCCACAATGGGCGATCAAAGTTTTACATAGGAATATATAGGAAAAATCTTTAAAAATCTTCTTCTCAAGAACAGCAAAGCCATGATTGGTCATATTTATATGGTAGCATCCTCAGATAGTGTAGATTCAAGTTTGTTCAAATCATGACCCCCGGGGGTCGGATGGGGCCACAATGGGCGATCAAAGTTTTACATAGGAATATATAGGAAAAATCTTTAAAAATCTTCTTTTCAAGAACAGCAAAGCCATGATTGGTCATAATTATATGGTAGCATCCTCAGATAGTGTAGATTCAAGTTTGTTCAAATCATGACCTCCGGGGGTCGGATGGGGCCACAATGGGTGATCAAAGTTTTACATAGGAATATATAGGAAAAATCTTTAAAAATCTTCTTCTCAAGAACAGCAAAGCCATGATTGGTCATATTTATATGGTAGCATCCTCAGATAGTGTAGATTCAAGTTTGTTCAAATCATGACCCCCGGGGGTCGGGTGGGGCCACAATGGGCGATCAAAGTTTTACATAGGAATACATAGATTAAATCTTTAAAAATCTTCTACTCAAGAACAGCAAAGCCATGATTGGTCATATTTAAATGAAAGCATCCTCAGATAATGTAGATTCAAATTTGTTCAATTTATGACCCCCCCCCCCCCCCGAACCACTTTTTTATTCAAACTTTTCAACCTTTCAAGACTGAACTGATTTCTGCTTTTGCCTAGCCATATTGCTCAGGTGAGCGATGTGGCCCCTGGGCCTCTTGTTTAGGCTTTTAATTTGGTTGCAGAATCTAAGGGTAAATTTTTGCTAATTTACTGTCCATTATAAAATTCTTTGTTTTAGTAACTTGTGGTTAAAAACAAAAAATATTAATTTTAGTGCCTCATTTAAACTTTTTTTTGACTTTGTTAAGAGGTGTTTACTGCTACTGAAATTCTATTATTGTCCCAAATATTTTTGGCAAAGTACAGATTACAGATATCCTTTTGAGAAATACAATGTATGCTTTCTGGTTAAGCAAAAATTTTCATTTTTGACATTTGAATTTACAATTAAAATTTATTTATTATCCCATCCCCCCCCCCCCCCCCCCCCCCCGGGATGTATAGTGATGGGGTGTTTGTCCGTCTGTCAGACTCTGTCTATGTCCGTCTGTTATGCTTTGGGGTACACATCTCTTGTCCACAATTCCTCTTATACCACTGAATAAAATTTGATGAGACTTTCACAGAATCTATGTTACATAGTACCATTGTACATGTCCTATTTTATTTTTGATTAGACACATATTTCAAGTTTCCAATATAAACACTGCCATTTTTTCTATAATATGGAGGGGTACCCATCTCTTATCCGCAACTCCTCTTATACCACTGAATAAAATTTAGTGAGACTTTCACAGAATCTTTGTTACACAGTGCCATTGTGACCTATTTTATTTTTTGATTGGACTCATATTTCAAGTTTCCAACATAGACACTGCCATTTTTACTTGAATATTGAGGGGTATCCATATCTTATCTGCAACTTCTATTTTTTGATTGGACACATATGTCCAGTTTCTAATAAAGACACTGCCTTTTTTTTTTTTATAATATTGAGGTGTACCCATCTCTTATCCACAACTCCTCCTATAACACTGAATAAGATTTAATGATAATTTCAACAGAATCTTTATTACATAGTGGCATTGTGCACCTCCTATTTTATTTTTTGATCGAACACTTCTTCTGGATGTCCCATAGCAAAACCTGGATCATATGGGAGGCAGGAGTATAATTTTGTGAGTTCAGTGCTCACAGTACCTCTAGTTTTGAAATATTCTGCTTCCACCTGCATACTGTGTTTACGCTCCCAACTTATTTGATACTCAAGAGCATGCGTTGAGTGTGCATGATCAATTTTTAAACCGAGGTAGCTACTGACAGATAAGTTGATGTTACATGTACTTCATCAGCCTTGTTTTAAGTCAGCATTAATGTTACTGAGAGCAGCAGATGGGAGAAACAACTCTACATTGTCTTTGTTGCTTATCTATCTTAACCACCAAAATATAAGTTCACTTAGTCATGATAAATGTAAAAATTTACAACTTACCGTATTCATAATTAACATTAATACCAGTATTCAGAAGAGTTTCTGTTATTATTTTGTAGATGGAGATTATTCCCAGGCTATAACCTATTACACACAGGCAATAGAACTCTACCCATATGTAGCGGCTTATTACGGGAACCGCAGCTTTGCCCATCTCAGGACAGAGAGTTTTGGTTATGCACTGAGTGATGCCTCCAAAGCTTTACAGATAGACAGAAATTATGTCAAGGTATTGTATCACTGTCATAAGTTCTCTGTTCTCATTTGAGAGTGTCTCAAGATTTTTCAGAATTACTCAAAGTACATACTGAATCATACTTTATTTTATATTTTCACAGGCTTACTATAGGCGGGCATCTGCCAATATGGCTCTGGGAAAGTTTAAAGTTGCGCTCAAAGATTTTGAATCGGTAAGAACTGTATCTATGGCATAATCAAATTTCTTTAAAACTTGTTGGAGTTAATTCCTCAGATTCACTAGTAGAGCACTTGCTTTGTGTGCCAGAGGTCCCATGTTCAAACCCAAGGAGGGGCAAATTATATACTATAAAATCTATTATATACTATGTTGATTTCTCTGAATCCTTCAGTTTTACAATTTCGTGAATTTCATTGAAATGTTTCTACAATTAGGTGATAAAAGTGCGGCCAAATGACAAAGACGCAAAAGCAAAGTACAGTGAGTGTAAGAAAATTGTCCAGATGCAGGCCTTTCAGAGAGCAATAGCTGTGGAGGAAAATCACAAATCAGTAGCTGACAGCATTGACCTGGCCTCCATGAGTACGTATTTGTACATTATATGTACACCATGAAAATACTATGTACTGTCTGCACACATTAGTTGACCGCAGTAGCTTGACAAAGTTTTAATTGATGAGCATGGATTCCAAATTAGGATGAAAAGAATGTGTGCAATTGTTTATTTCTCTTAATGAACTTTTTGAATCAATATTATAAGTAATAAATTTTATCCATTTTCTGTGACATGTTATAATTGAAAAAATGAGTATAATTGTATATTTACTAATTCAAAGGATAAATCTCTTTATGGAAGGCATTACCTATAAATTTCTGTTTGTTGAGAGTGAAAGTTAAGGGTAATTGGAATTTTGAAAATTCAGAAAAAAATTGATTTCAAAAAGAATATAATGATTCTTCCGTATGAGTTGGAATAGTGTAATATTGATCAAGTCTTATAATTGACCAATACCTTGACAGGTATAGAGGACGATTACCAAGGCCCTCGATTTGAGGATGGGAAGGTGACTCTACAGTTTGTCAAGGATCTCATGCAAACCTTCAAGGAACAGAAGAAACTCCACAGAAAATATGCTTATCAGGTTAGTAATTATGTAACTGAAACATCACCTCACATTTATCTCATTTCTCACTGATATTCAGAAAAATATTGGATCTTGATGTCTTACAAGAATGTGATTTGATTTCTAAAACTTTAAAGGTTCATCATGGAATTTTTTAAATCAGTGAGTCATGGTCCTTCCACATTAATAGATGTTTACTAATTTTTTTTTGTAAATAGATTCTAGTCGAAGTGAAAAAGTTCTTTGTAAAACAGCCCAGTCTAGTGGATATTATAGTGCCAAAGGTAAATTTCTATTGATTGAATCTTTTCATTATCAGTAGTATATAAAAAAAAACTACAATCTTAGAAACACTTGGGATTTTTTTTCTATTTTCAGGGGGAGAAGTTCACAGTTTGTGGAGATATTCATGGTCAATTCTATGACTTGTTAAATATATTTGATCTCAATGGTCTACCCTCAGAAGAAAACCCTTATGTATCCTTAATTATTATAATCAGTTTACAAATAGAAAAAAATCCTACTAACTACATACAGTTGAAATTCATAATCTGAAACCCTCAGAAGTTGACGTCAGACTGAGATATTTATGTTTTATTGTTAGGTTTTATTTAATGTTTTATTTACTGTATTGTTACAAGTACCTTGGCAAAGTGTTTTGAATTAAAGTATAATATAGAAGCCTTTAATTACATGTATAAGCATGCTTCCCTTGACTGAAAAATTAGTTATTTAATGGTGACTTTGTGGACCGAGGGTCCTTCTCTGTGGAGTGTGTCTTAGTCTTGTTTTGTTTTAAGCTTTTATTTCCCAATCATTTCTTTATGGCAAGAGGTAAGGTCACAGAAAGATTTCTTGGTTTTAAGAGTTTTATTGGTTGAGATATTCTTGCAATAAAGCTATTTTTGTATTGAAAAAACATGACAATTAAAAAAAATTCATCTATTTTTCTTATTTGCTCTGTTGTAAACAGATCTGTGGTATTATACAGACTTTCTGATGTTTTTTCCTCTATATATGTGTAATGTTTCTATATATGTTTTCAGGTAACCATGAGAGTATAACAATGAATCAGATGTATGGTTTTGAGGGAGAAGTAAAATCCAAGTATCCTTTTTTTAAGCTTCCCCCTCTCCCCCATTTATGTCCTCTTATCTATCATTATGGCAGAATATAATTGTACATTACAAACTGTTTTTTTTTCTTTACTATAGTTCGTACTTGTAAAATTTGCTACACAGTAAAGTTTGAAACATTTTGAATACATGTACCAGATTAGTTTCCTCCCCATACGACCCGAGGGTATTTTATTTTGCATGTATTTCTTTTTAAAAATAAAAGAAATACAGTAAAACCTCATTATCTTGAACCCCCATGGGACCAAGAAAAAATTTCCGAGATATCCAAGGATTCGAGATATCAAGGGTGAAATACTACAGAAATATGTGGTTGGGACTTCCAAATCACTTTGACAAATCCACGTACAGTATTAGAAATCCCGAAGTTAATTGTATGATCTATCTGTATAGCAGAAAATGGAAGATTTAACATGACATTTGATAAAACAATCCTTAACTAGTTTAGATACACTTCACAAATGGCCGACCTATTTACCGAGATATTTAACTGGCTACCATTAGCACACTGTATAAACAACAAAATATTAGTAAGTCTATATTACATAATCCGTGACAGCATAAGGGCACAACACAAAGCTTGCTTATAACTTGTCATGAAATCATTCTATTATAAATCAAAGATCACTGAAAAATATTAAAATTTGTACTTGGGTCATATCTATGCTGTGAACAAACACTGGGGCTCCTATGGAATCATCATCTTTTGTTGGGGTTCAGTATGTCTGGATTTCATGAATTTACAAACTTGAGGAAAGTTGATTTATAAGCTTTATTTCTATTGATAGTAATACCTTCTCTTGTGAAATCCATCCCCGCAAACTGATTTAGATTTACATCCTGCCTTCCAAAATGCTTTCTTTAATGAATATAATGCTAAGCAAAGACTGCATATTACCTGATAATTTGAATAGAAACTGATTCAAGATCAGCTGCCCAAGTTCAAGGTCACTAGCATTAATAAGCAGAAAAAAAGGGTGAAATTATTTACAGAGATGCTTTGATAGTCCATACCCAACACAATTGTTCATTGCATCCTGATAATTAGTGATGAACCTTGCAGTAGGTAATTTAATCAAGGTCCCTTACGGAAGAAGAGTAATGTGTATGAACATGTTAGTTTGTAAGATCTCATACAATTTCTCTTGTTAATTGTTGTTTATGACTGTAGGTAATGCATGGTGGTTTATTTAAAGATGACAATGTGACTCTGGATGATCTCAGGAAAATTGACAGAAACAGACAGCCACCTGAATCAGGTACGTTCTTATGAAATAACAGGGATGTAAGCATGCTTCCCAGTATCTGTCAAACAGTTGATTTAGCAGAAGAAAACTTGTTTTATCAGGTTTAATGTGTGAGCTTCTCTGGTCTGATCCACAACCAATGTCCGGTAGGGCGGAGAGTAAGCGTGGGGTAGGAACCATGTTTGGACCTGATGTCACAAGGAAATTCCTGGAACGGAACAATTTGGAGTATGTTGTACGAAGTCATGAGGTTAAACCTGAGGGATATGAGGTCTCTCATGATGGGAAGTGTATAACTGTCTTCTCAGCACCTAATTACTGGTAAGTTGTCTTCTCAACACCCAATTACTGGTAAGTTGTCTTCTCAACACCTAATTACTGGTAAGTTGTCTTCTCAGCACTTAATTACTGGTAAGTTGTCTTCTCAGCATTTAATTACTGGTAAGTTGTCTTCTCAACACCTAATTACTGGTAAGTTGTCTTCTCAGCACCTAATTACTGGTAAGTTGTTTTCTTAGCACCTAATTACTGGTAAGTTGTTATAAATGTGAGTAGATTAGATTTCTTAGAGGTTAAAATGAAATGCACTGGAACTTGATGTGTCTGAATTTTAATGAATTTTTTTTATGGGGTCGGTGGATATTGAAGTATAATTGCCTTATAATATAATGAAGAAAACAGAGAATACAAATTAAAATTCAGCAAAAACAGATTTTATTTAGAAAGCACAGAAATAACTAAAAGCAAAGCTGTGTATAGTATCAAGATGAATAGCAAAATAATATATGATGGTTATATAATATCATTTTTGATATTATAACATAGAAAATGCTATTTCAGAAGTGCACATATAAAATGTAAACTGATATAATTTTCAGAACATCCCAGACATATTTGAGAACAAAAAATAATCCTTCAATTGATGTGTAATTGAATATTAAAAGAAATATAATAATTTAAATGTAATAACAATTTGGTATTGATTTTCATTTGAAGGTATGACCTTAAACTTCACATAGGCATATGTCATGAAGGACAACATTTTTTACATTTAAAATTTACTTGCTAATAGTTATATATCAATTTCTGTCACTGAAAAGTATTTCGATTGTTGTTGACAGTGATACTATGGGGAACAAAGGGGCCTTTATGACCTTGAGAGGAGATGACCTTACACCTAAGTTTACATCATTTGATGCAGTGGTAAGTACACTTGCACTTGATGATATATAAATATAAAAACTTGATAACATATAAATATGAGAAAATCCTTTTTAGTAAAATATTCTGTTACTGAAATGAGGATGAAGTTACTAAAATATACAAGAATTCATGCAACAAATTGTGTTTGTTTCTCAGGAAGTTTTACCAGTAAAAGTACTCCTTTCTTTGTGTTTCAGCCACATCCTAATGTAAAACCTATGGCCTATGCAAACAACCTGTTTGGATTGTTTTAATCTCCATAGAAGGAAAAGAACAGACCAGAATGCAACTTTATGTACCTCCTTGGTTTCTCATTCATATTGACAACAGATGTCATAGAAGCCATATAATGCACATTGTAAATCAGTCTTTTAAAGACAGTATCATCAATGTGCAGACATTGAACATCAAGTAATCTGAAATTAATTACATTAAGCTGTATGTTAATTTGAGAGTTTTAACGATCAGTTAAATGTAGATGTTTGTTACCTTATATTATAATATATATATAGTCCATCAAAGTCCATGACTTTATATAAATGACCAGGACAAATCATTCTATTTAAACCAGAAATGTTTGTCCAAAAACTCTCAGTTCACAGCTACATATTTGTGGCAGCTGATATTTTATTGTCAGGAAATGCAAGTTTTAATAAAATGATAAAAATCAAGGATTTGCCTTATTTTACTTTGCTCCCTACAGAGTCAGAAAAATGACAAGAGGATGTTTTATGAACAAGTTTAGTGAACAGTAAACCAATGCCATTGAAACGTTAATTCATTCCCAAGTGCAGAATTCTTGTTCTATATGTCTTAATTTGTAATTGAGAAGCATTATAGAAAGACCTAAGGCTTTCATAAAGAAGTTATGATTTTGTTTTATTGGATTCCTTTCTTGAAGATAGAATATTTTATTTAGTCAATGCTTATGTTTGTTTCAATGACAAACATGCTTCTTGTACATGCTTCATATGAAATATAGAGATAATGAACAGTATTCAGGCTCATAAATCCATTCAAACGATACAAATCAGGAGAAGAGCAAACACGGACCTCTAGAACATCAAAGGTGGGATCAGGCTGTGTGCTCCTTGTCATGGAAAAATCCGTAGACAATTCAGTGTGTAAATAATGGCCTTAGCCCTAGTATGAAAAACATCCGTCAGCAATTGACTTAATGATAGATTGTATCTGCTGATAAGCTCATTGTAACGACCATAGAACTTGCGAAATTATTACTTTAAATGAGACTGTTGATATTCTTGTTTCATCAACATGTTTGTCAAAAGCTTGCCTCGTTTTAGAAATTGTTCATACATAGAGCATGCTCTTGCGTATCGAATCAACTGAGAAACATAAACCCCATATGCAGGTGATAAGGGTATATTGCTACATAAGTAAGGGAAGCTGACGATTGAAAAGTTGGTCATCAAGTTTATCATAAAGCTTTGTTGTTAGATTACCACTAACGTCTTTTTCAAGTAAAATATCCAAATATGAAACAGATGTGTCAGACTCTGTGGTATTTTTTATTTCAAGATCAAGTCGATATATGAATGAAAGTAACTATTGTTAATTGATAATACGTCGTTGATATATCTTTAAATGTCGAATTGAAGGCCACAGCAAGTGTTTTCTTCTTCTCATTTATAGGATTTTGAATAAATTCTGCTTCATATGAATACAAAAATAATTCTGCTAATAATGGGGCTCAATATGTACCTATGGAATTCTGACAGATTGTTAGGAGACCTGGTCTCCAAAAACTACATAGAAATTTTCAATCAGAAACTCAAGCATCTTTTTAATATCAACTTCAGAGTGTGTGTACAATCAGAATGTTTTTAACAAAATAATTTTACAAATGACAAGGTAAGTAAATTTACGAGTTCCATTTTTATTGGAAAAGCAGCTGTCAAGTATGTCAAAAAGCCTGGACTTTAATTTATCGTGGAGAATGGTTGTATAAAGTGTCGAAAGTCGTACGTTTTGATGTTACTGATTTTAATAAAATTTCGTGATTTCAGATTTTCTAAAGTCCCTTGTAATTTTTGAGTATTCCACGTCCGATTTACACCACTTCTCCAATACAGTACAGCACTACTACAGTCGCACAGTACTCCTAATTTTCTCCTTCACTGCTGTCAATATTTTAGTGAGGAGTAATGAAAGAGGCTTAGTAGAACATTTACTGGAACCCGCTATGTATCTTTGTATGTAACACTAGATGAAATCCCGCGCAAGCGCGGGGAATTGAATTTATACTACTACCGACAGAAAATATATTGTAGTTTCTACTAACAGCCTACAGGCTAATAGCAGGAAGAATTACTTTGTTCAAAATCCTGTATGAAGTAGATGTACGTTTCCACCCCCACCCCATTTGTGAAAATTTGAAAAAAAAAAACAATTTCATTAATTGGCGTTTATTGTGAAACCTGTTACACTATGTTATGGATATTGTACTTCAGATGCTCTTATTTCATTTCCCTCAAGGATAAAATTTATCAATAGCACAATGCTTCTGGTACTCACCAATATCGATGAAAAGAAAACACCACTCCACATTTCGATACAGGACTTGCGAGATTTTAAAATGCACAAAATGAAAACAAATCTCTAGAGTCAGATAAAATGTTTTCATCGGATTGTATATTTTATAAACGGACCATAAAAACGATGTTGATGAATACTAAAAGTATTGTACTATTGATAAGTTGTGAGTTTGACATTTAATTCGGTTCGCAAGTATCGAAAATCAACCCGAGAATGCCGCCTCCGGTTGGAGGCGGCGAATTCCCAGTTTTAGTAATGGCGACGGTTCTGACGTTTTTCTGGCACGTAAAATATCAAAATCGAGAAAAAAAAAGCCAGGAAAACGTCAGATATTTCGGACTACCCTTGTATGTGGGTAATCTGAATTTCTCGTGAAATATTTTCTTACGAAATAAAATTCAGACTTGCCCCCAGCACTTTATATACACCCAAGAATACGATTAATTGATTTATGTAACACGCCGTTCACAATAATTTTGTTTTTCACTTGTGCCGATTCGATTTTTGCGCAACATTTAAGAAAATTTATAAGTTTTTTTTTTATAATACCTTATTCAACTCTTTTTACAACTTAAGGTCAAGATGTAGTAAATGAAATGTGCCTACAGATTTTTCTAATTTGAAATAAATTCATTTAGTGATGCTTTATAAGTTTAGCTTGGTCAAATAAAGGTGTTTCGGGGCATAATTTGTAGGTAGACAAGACGGAAAATCATATTTTAAACTGTCATTTTCAATGAAAAACTAAGAAAACCAGTCATGAATGCGGGAGTTTTTTCCATATCTGACAAAAGAAATGTATTCAGATTGCCTACAGTCTCTCAGAAAATGGTAATTTGTATGTTCTTTGCATCTTCTTTAAAATAATATAAAATTGAATAGAGGTATATATCCGGATTACTTTCCACATGATTTCAAATTGAATTCCATGAAAATACTTTATTTTGTACATAATTCTATTAGAGCCGTAAAGTACGGGAAAAAGAAAGTTGAAATTGATTATGACGTCATAATGGATCTAGCACCAAAAAGTTAGTATAAAGTCATTTACTAAATCTTGACCTTAACTGTGTATGTATACATAGATTACAAATTAAAATAAAAAAAAAAAGCTCGAAATAAAATACAGTGAAACTTGCATGTCTAATCCGGATGTTGTGTTATCCAAAATCTTGCCTAATACGATGTAAACTTTTAGTCCTTTTTGGTAAATTTAATTGTTTAAAACGCTCTCTAATCCGGAATGTTGTTTAATCGGCCAATTTTATGGAACCAGTGGTGTCCGGATTAGACAAGTTTTACTGTAGTTTATATCTAATGCATATTAAGCCTTCGGACAGCCTCAACAAAGCTGCGCAACTTCAGCTAATTCAAGTACAACGCTAAATGTCTTGCACAAGTAGACATAAATAATAATGTAAGGAAATACGCTAAATCAAATCTTGGCTAACTTGTTCAAAAATCAATTTCCGCCAAATATCGTACACGCTGAATATAATACATTTATAGTAATCTGTTGATCAATACTTATATCAAGTATCTTATACATGTAGATCATCTTTAAAATAATATTTATGATAAGACCTCACAAATTATTGGTGTAAAACTGCATCATTCCATTAAATAAATAAACTTGTATAACTTACTTAACCTTAGATTTTATGACTTTGACTCAGGTAGAAGCATGCACTGAGTTTTCACCTTGAGGTTGATCAGAAACTTGGTCTAAACCTCTAGCTTCAGAATTATTTATTACAATTCAATTTTTATTACATATATTTGAATTAAACAAAGCAAATTATAAAATATTCATTTAAAAACTGCTCACAAAATCATAAAGAAACTAGGCTTATGGGGGACTATTTTTTGTGATGGAAAGATGTTTAGAAAAAAATCTTCAAGTCAACACATTTGTTAAATTTAATATCTTGGAAATTTATCACTACATATCTATACTCAGAGGATTTTTTTTTGTTGCATGTATATGCTAGGAATATTAAATACATATATGTATGTTTCAATAAATATTTGAAGAACAAATTTTACACATTCACTCAACAGACTTTGCCTAGAAATGAAGATATATTAAAGAATTCATGATAAAATTTATGCTGTTTTTTTGTTTTTTTTGCCTGAAAATTGCATATTTTGACAGATATCTCAAAATTTACATAATTTCCCCCCAATCTTTTTCTTTTATTATTTTAGACTGCATGATACTTCCAACTGATCAGCACTTGTCGTAAAAAGTTTGATAGAAAAGTATTTTATTGCCTATTCATATATTTAATACCCCAAATATGATACTTTTTAGTGCAAAAAGGTTTACTAACACAAAAATTTTCTTGCATTAATTTGCAGGATTTTTTTCAATGATAAATCTTATTAAAACTATTTTACTAGGGATGGCAATTTTTAACGGGTTAACCGGTTACTCGGTCGGAACGATGGTAATCGATTCGAAAATTTGTAATCGGTTAGTCGGAAAAAATAAAATATATGTAAAATTGAACGCATTTCTCTTAAAATTAATTTTTTAAAAAAAGAAACCTTTGCATAAAAGTTGATAATTTAGCGTTTTCACCTATCTGTTTAAGCTTATTTGGAGGTAATTATTGCTCTCCGGATTGAGATCGCTGAGTAATTTGGTCAGTTTCTGAAGTGTTAATCACTGTTTTTAGAAACATCATGTCGATACCCGACTGTCCTGTAATTCTTTAATGATATTTAATAAATCACCGTTGAGCACTGTGAATTATTACATGTATGTCTATCTTTTGCCGCTATCTATTAAATTATATTATTAGACAAACATTGTAAATTAAGTGAAAGTTCAGACATAGTAACTGTTGTGATTATGGTGACAATGCAGAATGAACTTGTGTGATATCTGCTCTGTAAAATTATCACTGTTTGATTTTACAGGCACGCATGTTTCATGTTTTTCTTAATTATTTCTTGTATAATGAAATAGAAATAAAATATATGTACATGTAGTTTCCTGATCAAGATAAACAGGATGTTTCTATTTTCTAACACTTTTTAACCTTCTTGTTTACATGTATATGAATAGAGCTACCTAAAAAAAGATGTCCAAAAAGGTGTATTTTGATACGATTAACCGACTAATCGGTCGGAACGCCTTGCGGTTAACCGATTAGCAATTCCGTATTCGATTGCCATCCCTATATTTTACATAAAAAAATTACATCTATTACCATGATTACATTTGGTAAAATATGATAAAAGTTAAAGTAATTAACTTACAATTTAAGTGCAAAAAGGTCAAGTTAATTGTACCGTTGCTTAGTAAGATGCACACTGATTACTTGATTTTCTTCACATATATTCTTTTTTTATATAACAAAAAGATTATCATTTGCATCACTTAGACAAAATGAACAAAGATGTTGAATTTCATAAATAAAAGGTTTGTTGTCTTTGACTAAAGTTTGTACTGATACAATGTTATATTTCACTTTAGATATTTGATTTTCATCACTTGTTTGTTTCCATACTGAGCAACAAACAGATTGTCATTTGTATCTGTACACAGTCCATAGGGATCAATCAGTCCACAGTCTATGTAGTGGAGGAACTGTCCATCTTGGTCTATGATGTGGACACAGTCATTATTCCTATCAGCTGTAAGGATGTGACTCTGACTGTCTGTGGTGATTCCTCGTGGACTGAATGGTTCATTCTTTGGAGCAGGAGTATGTCCAGTGTACCTGAATCTCAGTTTCCCTGCCTGATTAACCACCACTACTGCTTTAGCTCCATCATCAGACACACAGATATCCAGGTTCCTGTTCTCAGTAATGTTTCTGTAATTAGAGCCAGATGAATAGAGAGCTTTACCTTTGACATCAAACTGAATGGTTTGTTTTTCTGTGGAACCAGAATAACAGACAGCTTTTGATTGTTTGTAATCATCACTGTTCATGATGACCAGAAGGTCACCAGAGGAAGTACTACAGACACCGCTAGGTCTCCAGTTCTGTAGTCTGATCACCTCCTCCATCTTCTCATTCTTCACAATGTTCACAGTTCTATCCTTGAAATCAATATAAACTAGTTCTCCACTTTTCGTCACAGCTATGTCACATGGTGGGTTCCTTGACTTGGTTCTGATTGAGTTGAGTAGAGATCCCTGATTGATGCTGTAGAGTTTCATGGTGCCGTCATTTCCACTTATCCAGATTTCTTCATCAGTTATACAGGCCACATTGTAAAGGTACTTGCTATACCCAGTGTTTATGATGGTGACAATCTCTGATTCCTCAAGCAGCTGTTTGACTGGTGGAGGAGAGGATCCAGCTTCTGGTAATTTCTGCATCATCTTCATGCTGTAGCCATGTTTATCTGAGGTTAAAGAATTTGGCGATAAAGCTCCAAACAGCTTCCAAAGTTCTTCTCCTTTAATTCTTCCTGGAGTAAATTTAGGTAAAGAGGTCACTATTTTTTCTGGAAGATTTCTGTGTTTGTTTATATCAGATGTAACACTGAATTGTTTTGACATGTCATTAGAATCCATAGCAACATCAAATGAATTGATTTCATCCTTGATGTTAGAAATTTTCTTGTTTATTTCATCCAGATGTTTCTGTAGAGTTTTTACCTGTGTGTTTTTCATCTCATCAACTTCAGTTTTAAGTTTCTTGACAAGTTTGTCAATTTCTCTGTGCCAGTCCTCTCCATGTTTTGTTATGGCTGTTGAGAGATCTCCATATTCCTTTTCTAACTGACTCATTCTGTTTTGTACATCAGAAACAATGTCCTGGTAAGTCGGGTAAATTATTTCATTTAATTCAGTTAGGTCTTTCATAATTTTGTCTTTTCGTTCATCCAAAACTTGTAGAATTTTCAAAAATTTGTGACGTTTGTGTTGATCAGATGCAATACAACTGATGCAAACAGGAATGTCACATTGTTTACAATACATTTCACATCGTTCTCTATGAGATGTGCATCCTGGGTATTGGGGAGTGGATTTTCGAATCTTGAATGGAACAATTTCATGTCTGTTGGATTCATCAGAGATCATATGTTCTCCGACACAGGCCTTACATAGATTAACAAGACATGTATCACAGTGCATCTGTACCACAGCGGTCTCACACAGGTCACATCGCATCACATCCTGGGCACTGGTACGGGGGTCCAAGATTATATTTGTGGATCTGAAAAGAATATATATTTATATACATTAAGGTCTAGGATAAAACGGTGTCAAAACATTTTCTCTTTCCCAATCTGTCAATTAGCTGTCCTTACAAATAAAATTGATGTGAGGTTATAACCTTGAACCAAATTTCTAGATCAGAGTCAAGACCAAATCGGTTCTTTTTGTAAAGTTCTTTTCTAGAATTTATATTTTATGTCATTAGACCAATTTTGCCAGTACTCGTAAGTGACCTTGATCCAATTTTTTAGGTTAACATACTGGGTGTACTGGGGTAAAGGGTGTATTGACCTTGAGCCAAGTTTTTATGGTTAGAGGTCAAAGTTGAAGTTAAAAGAACATTTTCCCAAGGAAATAAGTATTGTACTTGGAAAAGTTTGACTAACATGTCCTAACCCATAGTGTAATTAAAATGAAGTTGGATGAAGAAAGTTTGAGGAATATAAGAATCACCTTGTTCGTCTGTCTGTCCGTCTGGATATAAGTTCATAATGTAGGATGACTGGAAGCTCAAACTTGGTACAGAGATTGCTTATGACCTGAGAGTCTGTCTTGATCTTGACTTAAGGGCAGTTTGGCAAGTTCAAGATAACTGGCAGAAAAAGTATAAAATGATAAAATAAATGTCTGTTCTACAGCATTGTAATGGAGAACCATTGGAAGTTCATCCTTCATACCAAGATAGCTCATGACTTGAAGGTGTGTTATGGTTTGATCCAAAGTCATTTGACAAAGTTCAAGGTCACTTTTAGAAAAATGTTAAAGTCCTGTCCTGAGAATGTCTTGTAATGGAGAGCATTAGTGGTTATTACATATGACCTGAGGGATTGTATTGACCTGACCCAAGGTAATTTTGGCAAGTTCAAGATAAATGACAGATAAAGTGTAAAATTTTGTCTAGTTCAGTACTTCGTAATGGATAAGTATTGAATGTTGAACTATTCCTGAAGGTGATTTTGGCAAGATGAAGGTCGTTAGCAAAAAAAGGGTAAAATTCATGTCAGGTCCATAATTTTTAATAGAGAAATATTTCATTCAAAGACTGCTCATGACCAGAGGATGTGCCTGTTTTTTTAAACCAAGATCATTCTGGCAAGTTCAAGGTCACAATTAAAAAATTGTAAAGGTACAGGTATATAGGACTTTCAAAAAAAAAAATTGCAGCAAGGGTGTACTTTTGTGTACCCACTTACTATACCCCTGTTTTTTTTAGCTCTCCTGAGCTGAATGCTCAAGTGAGTTTTCTGATCACATTCTGTCTGTCTTCATACATTGAGTGCAGTTTTAGCTTAATAATGATTGATTGATTGTATGCTGTTTAACGTCCGTCTCGAGAATTTTTCACTCATATGGAGACGCCACCACTTTGCCGGTGGAGAGCTGCAAAATTTGTCCTATACTTACGGCCATTGAGCAGTGAGGGATCTTTTTCGTGCCAGCACCTACTGCGACACGGGACCTTGGTTTATACGGTCTCATCCGAAGGACTGGTCTCCACATCCCACAGTGGGATTCGAACCCGCGACTTACTATTTAGCTTAATAAAGAATTTGTTGGAGGGGGAGGGGTTGTCAAGCTGATTTTTTCCCCCTGAATTTTCATATTTCAGAATAAATAAATTACTTTGAATAATGCTTTGCTTTTACTTATTTTGAATTTTTAAACCATGCTAAAGGACCTGCATCATTAATATCAGATTAACATATTAAAGAATGCTCTACCTGTTTTCAGACATTAATGGCGTCCTGTTGATCAAATCCTTCCTGTATGTTTTGATCATATGTTATTTGTGTTATATCTACCTGTCAGGCATGTTTACTTCCTTGTTTGTTTGTATGGCATTTTAATTATATTCTGTATTCTGCATAGGTTTTTAATTCTTATTGTAGAATTTTGTACAAAGGATAAATTGGTGCGAATTTACTGTCCATTAAAAAATTCATTGTTCTAGTAACCTTTAGTTAAAAAGAAAAATAGGAAATTTTTATGTCTCATTTATCATAGTTCAGCTTTTTTTTTTTTTTAAAATTTCCAGAGGTGTTTACAACTACTGAAATTCCATATTTGTCCGAGATTTTTGTGGCAAAATACCGATTACAGATTTCCTTTCCCATTATCCTAGAATTTTTATTTTTGTCACTGAAATGATAAACAATGATAAACAAGATTCCCTTAGATACTGATGATCACAATCTCCAAAGTCAGACATGGAAGGAGTATAATTATCAAATTCAATAACTTTAAAAAAAAGAAAAAAAAATAAAAAAAGGACCAACTATAGCATTACAACCAATCGTCATTTATAAAGAGAAATTACCAATTTATGTAGAGAAATTATAACATGTAGCAAAATTTATTCATGGTATTGTAGACACGAGATATAGAAAAAAGCTCAAATTACTGTTAGAAACTATTACTGTACCTAAAGCAACAGGAGGGGACTGGAAAACACTTCTGCTTTGTCTTTGTTGAGATTATTCATCTTAACCACTTAATATGATATATAAATATGAGAAAAACCTTACTTTAGTAGAATAGACTATAAATTACTGAAATATGCAAGGATTCATGCAACAAATCGTAGAATAGTAGAATAGACTATAAATTACTGAAATATATAAGGATTCATGTAACAAATCGTAGAATAGTAGAATAGACTATAAATTACTGAAATATACAAGAATTCATGTAACAAATCGTAGAATAGACTATAAATTACTGAAATATATAAGAATTCATGTAACAAATCGTATTTGTTTCTCAAAAGATTTACCAGTTAAATGTATTTGATTCTCTGTGTTTCAGCCACATCCTAATGTAAAATCTATGGCCTATGCAATCAACCTATTTGGATTGTTTTAATCTTCAGAGAAGAATAAACCACAGTGCAACTTTATGTACCACCTCATACATATACTGAAGCAGATGTCATAGAAGCCATATAATGCACATTGTAAATCAGTCTTTTAAAGACAGTATCAACAAACATTGAACATCAAGTAATTTTAAATCATATAGATTAAGCTATGTTAAGTTGAGAGTTTTAACGATAAGTTAAAAGCAGGTGGTTTTTTTTTTTAGTATTTAACTTTGCTCCCTACTGAGTCAGAAAAATGACAAGAGGATGTTTTATGAATGACATGTGAACAGTAAACCAATGCCATTGAGATGTTGATTTATTCCCAAGTGCAGAATTCTTGATCTGGCCATATATGACTTAATTTATAATTGAGAATCATTATAAAAAGACCGAAGGCTTTCATGAAGAAGTTTGGATTTTGTTTTAATGGATTCCTTTTTTGAAAATATTTAGTCAATGCTTATATTTAAATTTTTAATGACAAACATGATTCCTGTACTTACTTCATGAAATATAGAGATAAAGAACAGTAATCAAGCTCATAAGTCCATACAATCAATACAAATCAGGAACAGAGCAAATGCGGACTTCTAAAACTGGAGAAAATGTACATGCAAGTTCAATTTTTTCTCTAAAACCACTTAGTGATATATGAGGTTCTATGTACAATATATACAAAGACAATATAAAAGATGCACGTGAATTAGCGGGAATACATACAATCAAAATTACATTAATTTGAAACGTACATAATTTATTGGGAACGAACCCAGAACCTTGATGCTTAATTGTTAGCTCTACTGGTCAGAGACCAGAAGAGCTTTTGCGATAGTAAGGTGTCCGTCGTCCGTCCGTCTGTCTATCTTTAAACAATTTTTCAAACTGCTACTCCTCCTACAGTTTTGGTCTGATTTCAATATAACTTGGCATACAAGTGGACTACAACTAAGATACATAATTTAGTGCATCGGTTTTTGATTTCAATGAAGGGTGTTGCCATGGTTACTAAAAAAGAAATTTCTGTGAAATTCATTTAAAACGCTACTCCTCCTACAGTTTTGGTCTGATTTCAATATAACTTGGCACACAAGTTGACTGTACAATGATACATAATGTAGTGCATCGGTTTTTTTGATTTCGATGAACGGTATTGTCACGGTTTCTAAAAATAGAAATTTCTGTGAAATACATTCAAAATGCTGCTCCTCCTACAGTTTGGGTCTGATTTTAATATAACTTGGCGCACAAAGAGATAACACTGAGATACATAATTCTGTACATCCATTTTTTTTTATTTTGGTGAAGTGTTGCCATAATAACAAAAAAATTGAAATTTCTTTGACATAGTTTCAAAACATTACTTGTCATCCGCGTGGTGCAGTGGTAGAACTTCTGCTCTAGAGTCGTGGAGTAAGGAGTTGATGCTTACGTCGCGGGTTGGAATCCCACATGGAGACTGGTCCTTTGGATGAGACCGTATAACCCGAGGTCCCGTGTCGCAGTAGGTGCTGGCACGAAAAAGATCCCTCACTGCTCAATGGCCCTGAGTACCGAGCATAGGTCAATATTTGCAGCTCTCCACCGGCAAGTGGTGGCGTCTCCATATGAGTGAAAAATTCTTGAGAGGGACTTTTAACAACAAACAAACAAACAAAACATTACTTCGCCTACAGTTTGGTCTGATTTTAATATTACATGGCAGGGCCAGACTACACCGAGATACATAATTGCTTTTTTTTTTATTTTTATGAATGATGTTGCCATGGTAACTAAAATCAAAATTTCTCTAAAATTCTTTTAAAAGGCTACTCCTTCTACAGTTTTAGTCTGATTGCAATTCATCTTGCAACAAAAAGAGAGTAAAACAAGGATTATTATTTATTAATTGCTGTTGCAAAGTTTCAAGTCCAAGTGCTTCTTTTCTCCTCCTTTGGTAAAGTACAAACCAGTATAGCTACAGTCTCAACAGAGACTTCTGGTTTAAAATTAGTGTTTTAGTTCAGTTTTAAAGAAAACATTCAACTTGATATGCTGATACATATTGATGGGAGCTATTCAACTGCATCAACATTTTATGACCTTGACCTTTCCTTTGACCTTAACATCATTTATTTTAAATAAGTGTTTAGCTCTGTTTTAAATAAACCATTCAAATTTTTTTTATCAAACTTAATATGATAATAATAATAATGATGATAAGTATTTGTGAGAACTATTCAACTGCATCAAAAATGTTTGACTTTGAACTTTCCTGTGACCTTGACCTCACTTTTCTTAAATATGCATTTTGTTTAGTTTTAAAGAAATCATTTAAGATATATTTATGTAAGCTTATGCACTTATACATAATTTGGTGAGAATTTATCATCTATATCCAACTTTTTAGATTTCAATTTTAAAGAAACTATTCAAGATATCCTCATCAAATTTCATACATTAATACAAATTTTCATATTGCATTACTAATATACCCTCGGCGAGCATTCATGTCCTATGGACATATTTCTAGTTTCACTATATAATCAATAGAGCACCCCCTTTCATAAGAACCTCCGACCCTGGGGCCATGAATTTCACAATTTTGGAATGGGCATCCTTGCTTATCATAACCATGCACTTAGTTTGTTTAAATAATACCCAGGAGCAAAGAAGATTTTCAAAGAATTTATACATTTTCACTATATCAAGTTCACTATATCAATATTCACTAATCAAAAGAATCCCAACCTATCACAAGAACCCCTGACCCTGGGGCCATGAATTTCATAATTTTTGAAGAGTCACCTTTGCTTATCTTAACTATGTACTTAGTTAGTCTGTTTGATAACCAGGAGCAGAGAAAACGATTTTCTAAGAATTAATGCATTTTCACTAGAACCCCTGACCCATGGGCCATGAAATTCACAATTTTGAAAGAGGCACCCTTGGTCATTATAACTCTGTACTAAGTCTGCTTAATACCCAGGAGCAGAGAAGATTTCTAAAGAATTAATGCATTTTCACTATATAATCAAAAGAGCCCGCCCTAACACCAGAACCCCTGACCCAGGGGCCATGAAATTCACAATTTTGGAAGAGGCACTCTTGCTCATCATTACTATGTACTTAGTTATTTTGTTTAATACCTAAGAGCAGAGAAGATTTTCAAAAAAATAATGCCCTTTCACTATATGATCTATATAGTCCTGCTCTAGCACCAGAACCCCTTACACTGGTGCCATGAATTTCACAATTTTGGTAGAGGGCTCAATGCTTATTACAATCATGCTAACAATTTAACTGCTCAATGTCCAGGAGTAAAGAAGAAGATTTTTAAAGATTACATTAATGTTGGTAGTTTTGGCCCCACCCTCAGGCCCCAGAGAGCAGGGACCACCAAATTCACAATTTTTGTTCCCCTTTACCTATAGATGCTTTATGCCAAAATTGGCTGAAATTTGTTCAACGGTTCGAGAGAAAAAACTGAAAATTTTCAAATGTTAACGCACAACGCACGGAAACGGACGAAAACAGATAACAAAAGGTCACCTGAGTGACTCAGGTGATCTAAAAACTGGAAAGTTCAGCTGAGGAATTGTATGCAAAGCAATTCTTTTTTTACATATGTACTTCAACTCAATACTTTATCTCAACACATTTCATACATATTGTCTACACGTCTAAGCCAAACAAACAACTATAGCTCATGGACTTGAGCTTTAGTTGAGCGAGTTGTTACGGCTGTGCGAGTACTCGTTGTGTAGAAATTCAGCATGTCCATAAGTTTGGCACGGATAGAAAAGAACATTTATGAGTGCATTTACGGAAGTTTTACTACGCAAAACATGTTCATTGCAATATTATACATGTACATTACCATCTGACCTTCATGGAAACATTCATCTTTTATTAATAATTAACTAAGGGTACTGAAAATCCCAATTAAGCAAGAGGCCCATGGGCAGCATCGCTCACCTGAGTTAATATTTTACAAAAAAAATCCTATTTATTCCTTTCTGTAAAATTTTGATCATCCATTTTGGCCCTACCCTACCCCGGAAGGTAATGATTTAAATAAACTTGAATCTACACTACCTGAGGTTGCTTCCATATAAATATTACTTAAAGAGGTTCGATCCTGAGCTTTTGCGCAAATTTTTGTCTGGACATCTATTCCAAAAATTCTGCGTTATATTTTAGTTCTTGTATTAAATTTGGTTTCTACAATGCAGATTAAACTATTCTCAATCAAAAACCTACGACTAAATTCCAAACAAAAAAATTAGGTGAGGAACTATATTTTGTGCCGGAAGGTTTTTTTTTTTTTTTTTTTTTTTTTTTTTTTTTTTTTTTTTTAAAGAGAAAATGATAATTTTTTTCTCTTTCAAAAGTATATCGGTATACAGTACTGTTAAGTTGGATTCCTATTTTCCCATGCAGGCTCACACAGATTTATTTTATGCAGTGAAATGCATTAGGCTGGTCCTGCAATATTTATTAAATTAAATTGTCATACTGAGACAAACATAGCAAATGTATTCCGAAAATCCAGAAACAAGAGGCCCAGGGGCCACATCACTCACCTGAGCACTGTGGCTAGGAAAAAAGCAAAAATAAGTTTAGTATTGCAAGCTTAAATGCATAAGTGGTCCAGTCCTACCCCTAAAAGGGAAGGGGTATGATTTGAACAAAATTGAATCTACCCTAACTAAGGACGCTTACATATATTTTTGACTATCTGTGACTTTTTCCTACAATTTTAAACTATCATTGTGGCCCCTACCTACCCCTGAGGGTCATGATTTGATCAAACTTGAATCTACACCATCTGAGGATGCTTCCATATAAATATGACCAATCATGGCTTTGCTGTTCTTGAGAAGGAGATTTTTAAAATTTCTCCTATATATTCCTATATAAAACTTTGATCGTCCATTGTGGCCCCACCCTATTCCAGGGTCATGATTTGATCAAATTTGAATCTACACCACCTGAGGATGCTTCCATATAAATATGACCATGCAATCATACCTTTGTTGTTCTTGAGAAGATTTTTTGAATTTTTTCTTATATACTCCCATGTAAAACTTTGATCGTCCATTGTGATCCTACCCTACACCCAGAGGTCATGATTTGAACAAATTTGAATCTACACCACCTGAGAATGCTTTCATAGAAATACCAATCATAGCTTTACTGTTCTTGCAAAGAAGATTTTTGAATATTTTCCCTATGTATTCCTATGTAAAACTTTGATCGCCCACTGTGACCCCACCCTACTCCTAGGGGTCATGATTTGAACAAACTTGAATCTACACTACCTGAGGATGCTTCCATATAAATATGACTAATCAAGACTTTGCTGTTCTTGAGAAGAAGATTTTTAAAGATTTTCCCTATGTATTCCTATGTAAAACTTTGATCGCCCACTGTGGCCCCACCCTATCCCTGGGGGTCATGATTTGAACAAATTTGAATCAACACTACCTGAGGATGCTTCCACATAAGTTTCATATTTTCTAACACAGTGGTTCTTGAGAAGAAGATTTTTGAAAGATGCCATAATTTTTTCATGAATTCACAAACATCGCCCCTTGGAAGAAAGCATGGCCCTACATTTTAAGAAATTTGAATCCCCTTCACTCAAGGATACTCTGTGCCAAGTTTGGTTGAAATTGGCCCAGTAGTTCTGGAAAAGAAGATAAAAATGTGAGAAGTTTACGACAACAACAACGACGCCAACGACGACGAAGACAGGGAACAAATTTTTATCAGAAAAGCTCACTTGAGCCTTTGGCTCAGGTGAGCTAAAAATATGGCCAATTAATATATACATCATAGACCCCACTTTTGTTTTTCTTTCCTGAATATATGAGAAAACTTTGATCATTCTGCTTAACTTCAGTAAAAGATAAAGACTTAAAAATAATTTTCTTGCTTGCTAAATTTTTAATGCAAGAAAAATGACATTTTGTCAGTACAGAAAGGTAAAAAAATTGATAATGCGAAGTAATTTGAAACCTTTTCTTTGTCACAATGTTTGAATTGAACATATTTTATTGACAAAGTGTCAAAAGGAATAGGCACAAGTTCAAAAACTTAGATAGTCTTCTTCACAATGTTTAATATGTCTTCTCAGGATTGAATAAGAGTGTATGGTCCCACGATTCATTTGGATAAGAAAAATATTGGAGGAAAAACTCCGAAAAAGTTTTCATGTTTAAGGCACAATTTCAGTGCAAAAAGGTCATATATAATGTTTTATGGTGCCAAAAGAAGCGTATTGGCCCCATTTTTTATTTTGCTTTTTAATTAATCTTTATGTTCAGATACTAAAAATATACTTGCCAAAAAATTCTTAAGACTTTTGAAAGCAGGATCCAACCTCCTTAACATGGCTTTGTTCTTGAAATTTGCTTAAGTTCTCCATACAGAGAAACTGTGTGCAGTTTATTCATGAAACTGATTCAAAGTGATATAGTTCTCATTAATATTCATAAGATCCTGCATATACTCGAAATTCCATTTCTTTAAATTTTGATATTAAAACCCGTAAACCGGGTTCATTTACTTTTTTCCTTCAAACCTCCGTCTTAGCTGTATGGGTAGAATTTTGTGTGATTTTAAATGTTAGAACAAGTGGCAACTCGTGATACTGTTTTTCTTAAGAATAAGTAGTTCACACAGATGCAAGATATTGCTGTTTTCAAATTCAAAAGGGGGTCGTAACTATTCAGAAATGATAAATCATCATTCTGTATTTTATAAAATAGGCCCCCCTAGCAACTATTAATCGGCCAAAGAACTCTGCCATCTTACTATAAACAAATTTCATCATCAAAAAATAATAATTTCAGTGTACACCAATTATGTGCTCTTTCCGTCAATAAAATAATATAGTCTCGCTTTAAATTTTCAAATCAAAAAAGGCGGTAACTGGTTGCAACTTTCACTTTGGTATCAACAGTCTTGTAATTGCCTGTTTGGCGAAGTGGTTGGAGCGTTAGCTCTAGAGTTTCGAGGTAATGAGTTGATCCTTAATTTGCGGATTCGAATCTCACTATGGGACGTGGAGACCGGTCCTTCGGATGAGACCGTATAACCAAGGTCCCGTGTCGCAGAAGGTGCTGGCACGAAAAAGATCCCTCACTTCTCAAAGGCCATAAATGCCGAGTACAGGTCCTCCACTGGCAAGTGGTGGCATCTCAATTTGAGTGAAAGATTCTTGAAGGGACGTTAAACAAACAAACAAACATTTCTGGTGGAAGATATTTAGAAAAATCAAACCAAACTTTTATGGAATCTGCCGCCATTATTGCTCCAATATGACCAGTATGCAAATGAGCAGCATAATCACCGTTTCTTCATATGTTCTTAAATATTCCTATCTAAAACTTTGATTGCCCACTGTGGTCCCAATCTACCCTCTGAGGTCATGATTTGAACGATCTTAAAATCTACAATACCTGCTGCCAAATAAATAAGACTAATCATGGGATTGCTGTTCTTGAGAAAAAGAATTTTTAAAGATTTTTCCTATATATTCCCATCTAAAACTTTGTTCACCTAATGTGGCCCCAATCTACTCCCTGGGGTCATGATTTGAACGAATTTGAATCTTTAATACCTGTGAGTGCTGCCAAATAAATAAGACTAATCATGGCTCTGCTGTGCTTGAGAAGAAGCTTCTTTAAAAAAAAAAATCCTATTTATTCCTATGTAAAACTTAAATCACCTATTGTGGCCCCATCCTAGCCCCGGGGGTCATGATTTGAATAAATTTAAATGTACGTTATGTAATGAAGCCAAGCTTTTACATAAGTTTGATCTTTTCTGGCCCAGTGGTTATTGAAAAGAAAATCTTTAAAAGATACCATTAAATTTTCCCTAATTCTTAATTATCCCCCTTTAAAAGAGGGTGTGCCCCTTCATCCAAGGATGCTTTTTGGCAAGTTTAGTTGAAATCGGTCCAGCGGTTCTTGAGAAGTCGAAAATGTGAAAAGTTTACCGACAAACGACGGACGACACACGACAGACGGAACATTCATCTTTTTAATAACAACTTCAGAGTACTTGTGTGTGGAATCAGAATGATTTTAACAAAGTAACTTTTTTATGTCAATTACAAAATATGAAAATATCTAAGTTCCATTTTTATTGAAGAAGCAGTTGTCTATGATGCTAAAAAGCCTAGTGAGGAATGGGTGCATGAAGTATTGAAAAATCATAATGTTTGATGTAACTGACTTCTGAAAGGCACACACTCTTAGATTTCATTTCAGATATTTGATTTTCTTCACTTTTCCGTTTCTCTGTTGAGCAACATACAGATTGTCAATTGTATCTGTACATAGTCCATAGGGTACTCTCAGCTCACAGTCTATGTAACGGAAGAACTGTCCATCTTGGTCTATGATGTGGACACAGTCATTGTTATAATCAGCTGTAAGGATGTGACTCTGACTGTCTGTGGTGATTCCTCGTGGACAGAATGGTTTGTTCTTTGGAGCAGGAGTATGTCCAGTGTACCTGAATCTCAGTTTCCCTGCCTGATTGATCACCACTACTGCTTTAGCTTCATAGTCAGACACACAGATATCCAGATTCCTGTTCTCAGTTATGTAATAAAGCAAACCAGAGGAAAAGAGGGGTTTACCTTTATCATTGAACTGAATGTTTTGCTTCTCTTCGGGACCAGAGAAACGGACAACTTTTGACGGATAGTCATTATTGTACATAATGACCAGAAAGTCTCCAGAGGAGGTACTACAGACACCATGAGGTATCCAGTTCTGTACTCTGATCACCTCCTCTATCTTCTCATTCTTCACAATGTTCACAGTTCTTTCATTGTCATCAACATAAGCTAGATCTCCACTTTTTGTCACTGCTATGTCCATTGGCTCGCTCCCTGACATGGTTGTGGTTGACTTGAGTAGTGATCCTTGATTGACACTAAAGAGTTTCATTGTTTTGTCCATCCCGCTTGTCCAGATCTCTTCCTCACTCAGACAGGCCACATTATAAAGGTATTCAAATCCAGTGTCTATGGTGGTAACAGTCTCTGGTTCATCAAGCAGCTGTTTGACTGGAGAAGAGAATCCAGATTCCGTTGAAATCTGTGTTGTCTTCATGCTGTAGTCATGTTTGTCTGAAGTTAAAGAACTTGATGATAAAGTTCCAAACAGTTCTGCTTCTATTTTTACTGGTGTAAATTTAGGGAAAGAGGGAACTTTGTTTTCTGGAAGATTTCTATGCCTGTTTATATCAAACGTAACACTGAATAGTTTTGAAATATCATTTCCATTTACAGCATCATTAATTGAACTGATTTCATCCTTGATCTTAGACATTTTCTTGTTTATTTCATCCAAATGATTCTGTAGAGTTTTCAACTGTGTGTTTTTCATGATATCAACTTCAGCTTGAAGTTTCGTGACAAGTTTGTCAATTTCTCTGTGCCAGTCCTCTCCATGTTTTGTAATGGCTGTTGAGAGATCTCCATATTCCTTTTCTAACTGACCCATTCTGTTTTGTACATCAGAGGCAATGTCCTGGTAGGTTGGATAAATTATTTGATTTAATTCAGTTAAATCTTTGATAATTTTGTTTCTTCTTTCATTCAAAACTTGCTCAATTTTCACAATTTTATGACCTAGATGTTGATCAGATGCAATACAACTTATGCAGACAGGAATATCACATTCCATACAGTACATTTCACATCGTTGTTTTACATGAGATGAACATTCAGGGTAGATGGGAGTGGTTTTCCGAAGCTTGAATTGGACAATTTCATGTTTTGAGAATTCAACAGCTATCATGTGGTCTCCCACACAGGCCTTACACAGATTGACAAGACATGTATCACAGTGCATCTGTACCACAGCGGTCTCACACAGGTCACATCGCAGCACATCCTGGGCACCGGTGCAGGGGTCCATGGTTGAATTTGTGGGTCTGAAAATGATATATTTAATTTTATTACATTTTCAACAGTGAAATACTGTGATTTATTTATTGAATAAAAGTGATATTCTCTCACAGTGTGAAAGGATATCAAAAATGATATTCTCTCACAGTGTGAAAGGATATCAAAGTAAGTAAAAAATAATTTCTGGCCTGTCATAAGATAGAGATAGTAACTAAGCATCTTGATAGAGCTAAAACTGCAAATTTCTTCCTAAATATGTTAATGCTAAAATTCATGCTATGTAATGTTTTCAATCTGACACATAACTTCTAAGCTATGACGTTTCAACTGCTCAACTATGACGTCAAGCCTGTGACGCTGTGTTAAGAAAAGACAGAGGCAAAGGGAAAATCAAAGAAAATGTAATAAACAGAAAATTCAATGTTTTGTAGATGAATATGGAATTTATTTCACTCGTGAGACAGGATTTTTTGATATTTTCACTCGTGCTTCGCACTCGTGAAAATATCAAAAAATCCTGTCCCACTCGTGAAATAAATTCCATATTCATCTACAAAACATTGAATATCCTCTATATATTTGTGAAATACTGCACATCCAGTATTAACAATATTCATAATAAATGCACTTTCAATTTGTAAACTGTAGTTCACAAAAAAAAAGGAATTTTTTTTTTTTAATTCTCCATGTCAAGTGCAAACATTTGATATAAAATGAGGGATTCGTCTTGATAAATATGATTAATAAAATACTCTTATATAGCTTGTTCTTATTAGAACCCTGTACTGTTAGTGCCTGATATTGATCAGCCCGTTAATCAGTCCGGGGTATATTTTCTCTCCCACTGACCCAATAGAGTGTCCTTGGGGAACGGGGTGTGCAGTGACCTTAATCCAAGTTCTAGATAAAAGGTCAAGGCAGAAACAAGCCTAGCTCTTTGTAAATTCTTAATACTTCACCTTACGAGTATCTTTGGTTAAAACAGGAATGCAATGATCTTGCTCCTAATTTTTAGATCAGAGGTCATATTCAGTTTGTTTATCTTGCATGTATATTTACGGAAGCGTATTAGTGCCAGATTAATTTTTTTTTTAATTGATCATTCCTTTAAAGTTAGTAATTCATCTTTAAAGTTGGTTTTTCCAACTTTATTCTTGGCTTTTTCTACTTTAAAGTTGATAGTTTCAACTTTAAAGTTGATACTTTTATCTTTAAAGTTGGCTTTCTCAACTTTAAAGTTGGTAATTCCAACTTTAATCTTGGCTTTTGCAACTTTATTCTGGGCTTTTCAACTTTAATCTTTTCTTTTCCAACTTTATTCTTGGTTTTTAACAACTTTAAAGTTGGCTTTTTCAACTTTAAAGTTGGTAATTCCAACTTTAATCTTGTATTTTCTTACTTTATCTTGGCTTTTTATTCCAACTTTGAATTGCAAATTTCAACTTTAATATTGGTTTTTCCAACTTGAGCTTGACTTTTCCAACTATGAAGTTGGTAATTCCAACTTTAATCTTGGCTTTTCAAACTTTAATTTGAGCTTTTCTAACCCTTTTCCCCTTTATTTTAAATTATTACCAACTTGATTAATGCAAACTTAAAACACTGAAAAAAAAATTGGTTAGCAAATAAACGGTGTCAATTTTTTTTTAACCTTGGCCTTCCCTATGACCAGATATATAACTTCCAACTTTAAAAGCCCTTATATTTCTTTTGATCCGTCTTATATTATTAGTCCCCTACCGGTGAAACCGGAGGGGACTATAGGTTTCCTCTGAGTCTGTCCGTCCGTCCGTCTGTCCGTCTGTCTGTTTGTCTGTCCGTCTGTCTGTCTGTCCGTCCCTCTGTCTGTCTGTCAGTCTGTCCCACTTGGTTTTCCGCACTTTTCTTCTAAACGCTTGCAGATATTGAGCTGATTTTTGGTATGTGAGTGTATCTTGATGAGTTACAGATCAAGTTTGCATTTCGTTCCGCTTCATTGATTTTTGACGGAATTATGGCATTTTCAATTTTTAACGGGAACCAGATTACACTTGCCGGTAGGGGACTAGTATTGCTAATGCAATACTCTCAGAATGCTTGTTTTATAGAGGATAACTTCATACAACTCCGCACATGACAGGATTTTAACCATGTCTATTTAAGTGATCAGACATATATTTTGTTTGTATGAGAGAATAAACTTAACCAAATGAGACCATTATTTGGTGTTTGATATATAAGATGAATCAACACTATATTTCATGCTACAAATACAACTGAACTAAATGTATCAATTCTGATAATTCCTTCTTTCATCAAAATTTCTTAATTTAATCTTAAAGTTTTCTTTCCTTTGTTATTACAGTATATGTATAAAACAACAACAAGAGTCCAGCTACAGTGTATATGAACGTAACACATAAAGCCGTACAAAGTAAAAAGCCACGAATAAAATTGGAAAAGCCAAGATTAAAGTTGGAACTACCAGCTTTTAAAAATATATTAGGTGGCACTAAAACGCTTCCGTAATATTTTCTAACCTTGAACTCCACACTGACCTGACCTTGGTCTAATGTCTAGAATTAAAGTCAAAACAATTATCTGAGTAAATCTTTTCTCAGAACATATTTTATCTACCCTCGTCCCAACTTGGCTCATGCTTTATTCAAAGAGTGTCCTTGAAAAAAGCGTGTGCAGTAACCTTGAGATAAAAGGTGAAGGTTTGGGCATTTACTTCGGGGTAATTAATCTTTGTCCTAGGAATGCAATGTATAATTTCTGCCTTTGGAGAAGTTTGACTAACATTTAAGTCCCTATACCCTGATGTCATTTAGTTTTGCTAAAAGTTGAGCACTTTGAGATGGTCATCATCTGAATTATGTGTAGTTCTTTTTTGTTTCTATGAAGAATCCACTCACCCAAGTCATTCTGGTGAAATATTGGTATCCACTTTTTGTAAATTATCATGGATATTTTTGCAGCTTCTTCTTTCAAACTTTTAACCAATCCAATAATTTGGTACTTTGAATCTTAAGGTGAAGGGGGGGGGGGGAGTAAATTTGATGGTTCCTCAAGTCTAGATCTAGAGATGATCCATTTTCCAATATCTCATCAACTAAATTAATCCTATTCTGGGACTGAAAACCAATGACGCGGAAGGCATGAAGGGGAAAAACTGTGGTTGAGAATTCTATGCTTATTAAATCCAATTTCTCTTGACATACTTATGTGTACCGAGTCATAATTCTTCGGATTTCTATTTTCCCCATGTGATACATATGTACCTCAAGTCAACCAAATTAATAACAAGGTACTCTAACATACCTTGTAGTTTTAGTATCCAAAGTGCAGAGTCCAAGCCGAAGGACGTATGCTAAGTACAGGCTTGGAGAACTGTAAGTTTTCTTCTTAATTCAAATTTAATGTCCCTAGTTCTTGACCCAGGGTGAAGTAAAGTATGAAAGTATTTAGAAAAAATTCAGTTTTAAAACACTTTATATTGATATCTTCTTTACGTAATGATTTTCTTCACTTAACATCCAGAAAACTGTTTCACATATTTGTTAAGACCTTCCAACTTGTGAAATAAGTCCACTGGACATGGAGTTGATCTCACAGAAGGGCACAAAATTTAAGCTCAAATTAAAGCATCTAATTGTTGTTGTTTTTTTCGGAATGGGACATCTTACACACAAAGTCTTTGCTTTATAATATTGAACTGTTGGCACTTTTTTTAAATTACTGTATTTATTCATTATATTTGAATTATATATTCAGCGTCTCAGGGCCATGCCTCAAATAATTCTTTTTAATATTTTTAACTCTGAGCTTGATCAAAACATTTAAATTTCAAACGTCTGTGATATATGGATGACCTCCATTTACTTTCAGCATTCCAAGGTTGAAGGACACAACTTGTTCTTTAGTACTGACGTTTTAGAAAAGAAACTCGGATTACATGATTATATTTAAAAGGAAAAAGTCTTTTTCTAAATCCTGCATTTGCCATTATTGTAGCTTGAGTACAAATGTCAATAAATAATTGGTGCATAAAATTCAAATGGATCTTCAAGGCCCAAGTGGCTCACCCCTTTTTAGATACAATTTTTCTATGAGCTAATAATGAAATTTCAATTCCCCTCCTACCCCTTGTTAAATGATCATTTATACCAAACTACTTTTTATTCAGTATCATATTTGTGAAAAGTTCAGCATTACAGAATTTGAGATTGGTTACTTGATTATCAACTGGAATGGTGAACTTTAGTTAAGACAACATAATAAAAGGAAACTCTTGTAGCTTGAGTACAAATGTCAATAAATAATTGGTGCATGACATTCAAATGGATCTTCAAGGCCCAAAATTTTAAAAATTGTATCATGTTGTTAATTTTGATTTTACTAGTTGGAGGTAAATGCAAAATTTACATGATAATTGATGGGTTTCTAGTTCTTTTGAATTTCTAAATAATTTAAGTGTACAGAAGCTGTGAAAATCCTACCTGATTTCAGACAGTATTGGCTTAATCGTCCCTGGTTACTTTGTTAATGTGGTATTTATGTCCTTTTTTTAAATTCCTTGTCTGTTTGTATCTAGGGTTTAAATCTATTTGCAATATGCGCGCGTTTTCTGGTTGAAGACATTTATATAACAAAATATAATATTACATGTACCTATTTATAAATACAGAACATGGAAAAAATGAGGGTTTTTTTTGTTTAAACTTTAAATACAATTTTTTTTTTGTGAATTTGTTAAAGAAGAAATAAATAAGAAGAAGTTTTGATAAGGCTCTTTTGACATGCTTTTCGTAAAATTGATACATGTTTTGAAATTTCTCCGATTTTAAAGTCATTTTAAGAATTTCCAACATATCAAGTTTTGTTTTACTTGTTTTTAAGGATAATGTTGCATGCATGATGAAATGATAAAAAAGTATAGTTAACAAACTTTAACATAGAGTACAAGGGGGAAATGCTGAAAGTTCTGATGATAAACCTTCTTGTACACCACGCATTGTGTTAAGTACCAAAACTATACTTCGAATATTATTTATATGAACAGAATCATTATTCTGGAATATGGCTGTATTTCTCAATGCAACGTGCACTTAGATACAGGCCCGTAGGAAGCAATTTCAATGGGGGGGGGGGGGGGCAGCCATGCATTTTCAGTTGAAGGGGCACTATCAACTACCAAAAATTCCTTGACAAGCAATCAAGCAATGACTCCCCCCCCCGTTCCTACAGCCATGAGATAGCAATAAGTTTCTAAATTTTGTAATTAACGGGTTGTTGTTAATTTGTAGAAACATTTGAAGTAAAAGAGACACATTCATAGTTATGTCTCTAATAATTAGAAATAAGCTTTCTAAAAGCTCTATAAGTTTTTAAACTTTATCATGTCAAATATGAAAGACACGGTCTTTATAAAAATAATCACACTTGAAGAAGATCTCTGTTGTACAAAGTGAGGTCATCGTCAAAGATCTAGAAAGGTCAGATCAAAAAGTTTTGATGAACGTTGTATAGCTCTCTCCAATATGTATCGGCAAATAAGGTTTGATAAAAATATCTTAAATAGTTTCTTTGAAATTTAGTTAAACACAAATTAAAGAAAAGTGAGGTCAAGGTCAAAGAAAAGGGGAAAAAAAGTTTATGAAATTGAATAGCTCCCATCCATATGTATCAACACACAAGGTCTGATAAAATGTTTTGGATAATTTCTTTGAAACTGAGCTGGACACATTTTTTTTTCAATTGGGGTCAAAGGAAAGGTCAAAAACTGTTCATGCAGTTAAATACTTCTTTAAAACTGAGCCAATCTAATTAAAATTAGACTTGTATTTTCGCTCCTCTACTATACGCTAGTAGAGGAGCGAAAATACAATTTTAATTTTAATTAGATTGAAAACTGAGCTAAACATAATTCTTTGAAAAGTGAGGTCAAGGTCAAAACTGTTGATGCATTGAATAGCTCTCATCTGTATGTATCAGCATACGAAGTTTGATAAAATCTTTGAATTTGAACTAAACGCAGAGTGTGGCGGAAGGACTGTTGGAATTAAGGACGGAAGACGGACATGACAAACACTAAGCCTACATATGCCCCGGCCATATTCATAAAGGGGCATATAAAATCATCCCCACCCTCAGACAAGTCTCGGGTGAAAATGGAAGAAAAGTTTCTAATCTGTTTTTTTTCAGTTTACTTATTTCACATTTTTATTCAACGCAAGTGGCTTCGATGAATTGCAACACTGAGTTGTCTTTCTATATGACTTGTCACGTCGGTATTTTTTACTTCCGGTTGTACTCTTTCGAAGAGTTTTTGGAACCAGTCGAACGATGCAAGTGTAACCGGAAGTAGAACTCTTAAATGAATAAATTAACAAAGTTACTAGCCAACTTGGCTTAAAGCAGTAAACTATCTCCAGTTACATGTATGTCTGTCAACCCAGGTAAGGGGATATCTGAACTATGATCAACGCTAAATGAAAACACAGTTGTAAGTTTTATAAATTTAATAAAGTGAGAATTAACCTTTGCAAATGATAACAAATAATAAATAATAGTCAAAGTTTAACCAAGAATAAAGGGAGGTATGTGGAAAACCTAAGAAAAATAATTTATATCCCTACTGAGCTTCCATACTTATGAAAAAGGTCAAAAATCCTATAAAACCTGCTATAAATGTCAATGAGTTGAAAAAAATGTAAGGGAAATGAGCTACATCACCCAATATGAACTCTACTAATCAACACTCTAAGAGTTGAACTTAAAATAATAATGCTAAATCTGGACTCTAAAAATATCTAACCCAGAAAATAAACAATACCAAAAATAAATAGTGAATAGTGGTTCTAGGAATTAGACCTGTTATCTACAAATCCCTAGACCAGGTTGGACTCGGAAAGGGGAAAATAAATTATCTCTATAAAACCTACATCCTAACTGTTTCCTAACAATAACCTAGAACTTGTGAAAAACGTGAAACTAAAGCTAGCTAAGACCTAAAGTACTGTTAAACCATGGGGTTTTCTTAGCACAGTAGATATAAACTAACCATGAAGTTGTGTTCCCCAACCCAAGTGAAGAAAACTACACGAGCACGGCCCTAGCTAGGCCCAAAAATAAAAGCCAATGACTATCAAAGATCCTACAACTAACTTAACCAATCAGAACACAACTACCAACAGTACTACGGAAGGACTACCAACATGGATGACACTTCCTGTTTAAAAAGTAAAACATGTGCCATGATGTGGAATGTCAACACATGTCCTAACTTATAAAAGACAAATAATAAAGGGGTTTTACGTAAGTAACAACTGAAAACATAAAGAAAATAGAATTAACAGACTGAAATACCAGCAAATACTTCTAAAATATAATTTACGAAACCAGGGCTATAAAATAAAAATCTAAACCACTACACAAGTATCAGGTAGTAAAACTGCTACTCAGATATCTAGACATTTTACAAAGTAAATAAGTAAAAAAAAATATCTTATTTTGTTTTCATGTGTCACAAATTTTGTTTACCCTTAGTCCTAACTTTGCGTTTTACAAAACTATCGATTTGTATTAATTATATTGAAAAAAAACTGCCCTGTTTCGATTATTTTATTTAGAAGAGATTGCAAATAAAATGCAAGGCATAAGTTTATTTATCTATACCAGTATTTCAAAAGATAGAATAATCACATGCATTTATAGAAATTAGAATTTTCATATAAAATCATAATAGCTATTATTTAATATGAACATCGAGAAATGAAAACCATTCCAGTAACCGGGTCCTCGATCGGAAAAGTAAGCTACAGTAATTCTTTACTCTCTGGTTTTGTTTTCCCCTTATATTGCTGCAATTAAAAAAATATTAATTACCATTACTCAGCAGCCGTGTTGCTTCAGTTGATTCGATACGCCAGAACATGCTCTATGTATGAACAATTTCTAAAATGAGGTAAGTTATTGACAAACAAGTTGATGAAACAAGAATATCAGCAGTCTCGTTTAAAGTCATCATTTCGTAAGTTCTATGGTCGATACAATGACCTTGCATTTGTCAGCAAATACATTCCATCATTAAGTCAAATGCTGACTGACTTTTTTCATTCCAATTGTAAGGCCATTATTTACACACTGAATTGTCAACAGATTTTTCCGTTATTTCCTGATCTTGACAAGGAGCACATGGCAGGTGTGACTAGTCAGCAGGGGAAGCTTACTCCTCCATGGCACCTGATCCCACCTCTGATGTAGTAGAGTTCCGTGTTTGCTCTGCTCCTATTTTGTAATATTAATGGACTTTCGAGCTCGAATATTGTTTGTTATCTCCACATAATTCATTCCACTAACCGGGTAATCGATCGGAAAAATAAGTGAGTAACTACAATGTACATGTAATTGGTTATTAAATTTGTTCAATTTGACAACAGCAACTCTTTATTCTCTGTTTTTGTTTTTCCCCTTGAATTGCTGCACTTAAAAAATATTTATTATTATTTACCCTATGAACTCAGCAGCCATGTTGCTTTATTATTCCAAAATGTGACAACTGTACAACAAAATATGAATAATAAATTAATGATGAATATGAATTGAGTTGTACAGGTATATCATCAGAACTCTATAAGGTGTGTAAATGGTCCATTTGTTTCTGTGGAGAACACTTGTCTGTTGCCATATGTCCCTGCCCTCACATTACACTGCTTTGCTTTATCGTGACCTTGAACTGTCCGTGTACAAAGGTCAACAAAAGCCCTGTACAGTTTCTCTCCTTCCTCCTTGTGAATATTCCTATGGTACTGCATGACCTTGCCCTTCAGATTTCCTCCCAAGGTCGCCTGGGGTATAATTAGAACATCACCAGGAAGGTCAAGTACAGAGACCAGTTTTCCACCGTCCACAGAACTTAATTTGGTGTTTAATGCGGCCTTAGCTGGAATATAAATCCAAGACGTTTGTATATAATGATAAGAGATTTTCTACAGTGGTATTACAGTTTACTAATTTGTGTTATAGAAGCCTAGACAGCTTGGTCAGTGTCGCAATATTTTAATATCACAGCATGTTTGTATATGCAATATATATATATATATATATATATATATATATATATATATATATATATATATATATATATATATATATATATATATCTACCCATCTTTTCAACTGTATCTGTGTTGGCCCCTTGTAGAAAACAGACGTAAACTATCACTCCTCTGGATATCTATTAAAAAGAAAGTAAGAATAGATACTTTGATCTTACGAATGGAATATTTTTCAGGAAATATTTTAAAATAAATGCTTAACTAATAGTAATACTTTCTAACACGACGAAATGACGCAACATTTATTTCACAATGCTGTAACACATCACAAAGTCGGTTCATTAAAAAAGGATGCGTATCTTACGTGTACATATTTCGCCTCCTCATCTTCTATCGCTGGCTGAACCATCAATTTGGCCGACAAGCATTGTTGAAGTACAATTCTCGCATTCGGCTGTTGACTTGTCATTTCGGGCAAACAGAAACCGAAAGTAGGAATTTCGATGCCGCTTATATCATGTAATCGTATGGCTATCATTTAGTTCAGACATAGAATAACGCTTAAAAAAAACGGATGCTGTTAAGTTTTTACCAAGTTTCTGTGACTTTTAAGCAGTTAAAACTACTGTTATCGATTGAAATATTGGCATTGCATCATTTAATGTTATAAGCGAGTTTGTTTACTTTGGCAAGCATGGTTTCGTAAGACTTGAAATGTCACATCACAATAGAACGAAACAACCGGCGGAGGACGATGATGATGATGATCCCCTGGACAAAATAATAAAGAAATCGGGATGCGCGGATCTTCATTACAAAGTCCAGGTAAAAAGGCCCAGTGAGTGAAGGTATTACATCAGTTATACGTGTTCGTGCAAGAACTGAAAAAAGTGCTGAGGACATGTAAACGAAGAATGCTAGAAATCGTTTCCACGATATTTATAGATATTTCACAGTGCGTTAAGAATTAAGCCTGAAAGAGAGAGAGGGGGGGGGGCAGAGGTGCATTGTCCACACCGGTACAGGGGCTGAGGTGCAGTTAGAGTAATCTCGGTGGAAATTCGGCTGGGCTAGATATTTGACCAAATATCTAGCCCAGCCGAATCTCCACCGAGATTACAGTTAGAGTATTTTACCTGAGTCTCAAGACAGTCCTTCAGCAGCATTATTTTAGTCAGCAGAACATTTATATACCTAATAACATGAATAGATATGACCCTGGTAGGTGCATCAGAATCCCTCCTTAGTTTGTCAACAATCTCATTTTCCCATATAGTCCTCCTCTCCCTCCACCCAAACGTTAGAGTCCATGCACTCCTGTACATCAATTCTCTTCTAAGCATCATTATCACTGGTATCACTTTCTATTTATTATAATTGCAAAAGAGATCAATCTGCAGAAAAAAATGTTGTAGAGAAAAGAGCAGAAAGAGACAAGGAGTGAGAAGGATTCAGGAAAGAAAGTTCCTTGTGGAGTGTATAATTAAATTCTGATGTATCTCTTTTAGGTCTGCATGGCCGAGAAGCAGGACTGGAGACAATGCCAGACAGAGGTGAAAGAATTCAGGGATTGTATAGAAAAGAACATGAAACAAAAGAATAAAACCTGACCTGTGTGATGATCAGAGGTGTACTGGTGAAGAACTCGCTTACAATCAATGTATGCACTGCTAGATGAAATATGTGAATGATTTACAGATTATTGGAATTTGAATACATGGAATGACTTTTGTCAGAGAATTAGAATTGCAAGTAAATCATTTGTCTGATCATGCTGATCTGTGATTTATATTTTTAGTTCAAATGGCCATAGAACCTATGACCTACAGTTCAACTTTAGTATCTCAACAGGGTTGTGCCTAAGACCTGGGGCAGGGGAATTTCCCCGCCTATAATGACATAATGCCCAGGTTATGCTGGTATTCCCCCTCATCCCCCTATTAACACCAATATCTTGAATACCATGAATATGTCGAAGTGAGTTGGAAGTCCCAGCCACTTTTAAGGTCACCTGAGTCACTCAGGTGACCTATTGCTATCTGTTTTTGTCTGTCGTCGTTCGTCGTACGTCGTTCGTCGTCAATCGGTCGTAAACTTTTGAACATTTTTCGCTTCTTCTCTGGAACCACTGAACCAATTTCAACCAATTTTAGCATATAGTATCTATGGGTGAAGGGGAGTAAAAATTGTGAAATTTATGGCCCCTGCCCCCCCTTGGGCCTGAGGGGTGGGGCTAAAACCATCAAAATTAATGCAATCTTTAAAAATCTTCTTCTTTACTCCTGGACATCAAGCAGTCAAACTGTTGGCATGATTGTAATAAGCATTGAGCCCTCTACCAAAATTGTGAAATTCATGGCCCCAGGGTCAGGGGTTCTGGTGCTAGGGCAGGGCTCTAATGATTATATAGTGAAAATGCATTAATTCTTTAAAAATCTTCTCCTCTGCTCCTGGGTATTCAGCCGATGAATTAAGTACATAGTTATGATGAGCAAGAGTGCCTCTTCCAAAATTGTGAATTTCATAGCCCCTGGGTCAGGGGTTCTGGTGTTAAGGCGGGGCTCTAATGAATATATAGAGAAAATGCATTAATTCTTTGAAAATCTTCTCCTCTGCTCCTGGGTATTAAGCCAATGAATTAAGTACATAGTTATGATGAGCAAGAGTGCCTCTTCCAAAATTGTGAATTTTATAGCCCCAGGGTCAGGGGTTCTGGTGTTAGGGCAGGGCTCTAATGATTATATAGTGAAAATGCATTAATTCTTTGAAAATCTTCTCCTCTGCTCCTGGGTATTAAGCCGATGAATTAAGTACTTAGTTATGATGAGCAAGAGTGTCTCTTCCGAAATTGTGAATTTCATGGCCCCTCTTGATGAGGGGTTCCATGTTGAGGGGGGGGGGGGCTTTTTTTTCTATATACTGAAAATAAATTAATGCTTTGAAAATCTTCTCTGCTCCTGGGTATTGAGCTAATGAACTATGTACATAGTTATGATGAGCAAGAGTGCCTCATCCAAAATTGTAAATTTCATGGCCCCTTGGTCAGGGGTTCCATGTTGGGGGGGGGGGGCTTATTTATTATATACTAAAATAAATTAATGCTTTGAAAATCTTCTCCTCTGCCCCTTGGTATTAATTAAACAAACTAAATACATAGTTATGATGAGAAAGGATGCCTCTTCCAAAATTTTGAATTTCATGGCCCCTGGGTCAGGTGTTCTTGAGGTTGGGTGGGGTTCTATTGATTAATTAGCAAAATGCATTAATGCTTTGAAAAACTTCTCCTCTGCCCCTGAGTACTAAGCAAACAAGCTAAATGCAATAATATCAATGTAAATACATGTAGTAAATTTAATTATAAGAAATTGTGCCTTTTCTTTGTTTGTGGGTATCTAGGAGGCAGAGTACACAATTGTGATGTGAAGCAAATGAGAGTTACTCCCCTTTGCTAAATATTGTTAATCAAGAAATCCTTGTATATAATTTAATTAACAGGTTATTTGATTGAATGAGAATACAAGAAAGAATGTTATATATATATAGAAACAAAATAAAAATGAATGTTTGATTTAAATGAGCAAAGCATGCTCAAAGTCAGATTCTTGCCTGGAAAGCAGTATAAAAGATTGACATAGAGATTATTTATATACTTAGCAAAAGTTGTATACACTGTGGTGATCTAAGTTAGTGTCATTTGTAGAGGAGTTGTGGTTGACAGGAGACTGGATGTTGTTTTATACTTAAAGCTGAACACGCTTCGTAAAAGCAATCTGTCCGCCATATTCGATAGGACTTTCGCTATATCTGAGAGCCCCTATATATAGAGCCGCTCACTTGGTCACTGTTTAGTGTTATCAATTGTCACCGGTGTAGACGGACATATGCTATACAGCACTTAGTAGCGACGAAAATGACTGTGTGCTTCTTCTAATGCAGGAGAGTAAGATATCAAAGAGATTTACAACAGTTGCACAGGTCAGTGCAGTCTACAAACAAACACAAATATACGTAACTGCAATAAAATGTAAACAAAAGTAATGCAAGATAACCAGCACGAACACGGGTCGCCATTCCACGCTGATACCCGTGACAAAAAAGCAGTCAGGTGTAACGAATGCGAAAAGTATACCTTGGTGCTGATATCTTAGATAGTAATATCGTAAATGGCGTATGCCTATTTACGAGTCGTGTTCAGCTTTAATCAAAGTGAACAAAGAATCACAGAGAGCCAGAGTGACTTATTGTAATTAGTGACAAGTGGAAAATAGCCATATTGTATATACCCAAGTCTGTGTGTACTGAATTGTAGCACTAGGCAAGTGACAAATATTGAATACCTTACACAATAGGCAAGTGTTCTTTGTATTTGTATATTTTGCATTCATTATCATCCCTGTAAGACTTGGGAAAACCAAGTATGATCCAAAGGAGATCAATCGGGTCTAGCGCATTACAATATGCAAGGGTATTTTTACCAGATTTTTAGCTCACTTCGACGAAGCCGAGATGAGCTCATGCTATACCCCTGACGTTGGCGTCCCGGTTAAAGTTTTAGGAGCAAGTCCACTCCCAAGTAACTATAAGCCCTACCTGAACCAAACTTGCATGGATGATGCATCTAGGGATGGACACTACCACACTTGCTTCGGATGCTGGATCTGACCTAGATTTTCCAGATGAGTGACCAGGTTAAAGTTTTTGGAGCAGGTCATTTTCCAAGTAACTATAAGTGCTACTTAAACCAAACTTGCATGGATATTGATCTTGGGATGTACACTAACTAGAAAAAAATATGATGTGAGATTTGCCTTACTTATAGATAACATTTGTCGAGGTGAGCTTCGTTATCTTTGATTACCTATGTTTGAAATTCTTGGGCAACATTGCTTCGTCTATCAGTTAATTTTGTTCTATACTTCCATGGATCCTTTAGTGTTGTATTATACTCAGGTGACCGTTAAGGCCCTTGGGCCTCTTGTTCAATACATATTTTAACCTCGATATCTGGAAACCTTGGATATCTCTCGTTTTCTTTTGGTCCCATCAAGTTTGAGATAAGGAGGTTTGACTGTACTGCATTGGTAAAATAAGAACCAATCTATCATATGTTTGTCAGTAAATTTTGTTGTTAATCAGACTATTCGCACATATTTTCTTCACACTTTAGTATTTAAGCCAGTAGAGCTACAGTTGTGACAGAGACAGGGAGAACATGAATGTTGACTTCGTGCACAGTGTGGTAGTGACCTACATATGCATAATATATTTAAACTTCATTATCTCAGATTTAAGACCGTCTCCCAAAAATTGTCTGTCTGTATTCTCCTGACTGACTAAAATTAGCCCAACTAATGAAACTTCTTCAAAGCCTCCAGGAAACAATTTTAAAAAAAGAATTCAATTCCAGAATTTTCCATGATGATCCCTTCGACGACGTAATTTTTTTTAAATACATGTACCTTCAGTTCTTGATCATCATAACCATGCACTTTCACTATATAATCAATTATAAAGCCCTGCCCTAACATCAGAACTCCGGACTCGGGGTTATTGAGCAGTGAGGGATCTTTATCCTGCCAATGCCTGCCATGACTTGGGGCCTTGGTTTTAGGATCTCATCTGAAAGATCAGCAACTTTCCCTTCAAGAGCGCTTGGTGAAGGAACAGTTGCTAGATATTTTTCATCGACTTAGATCAGTCGTGGCTAGGGTTTGAACCCAAGACCTTCCAATCACAGAGCAAAAGTTCTACTGACTGAGCTACCATGACGGTAAGGTCAAGAGATAAAAAAAAATATTGATAACCCAAGAAAGATCTCGTCACAAGGAATACTCATATGATGTATAAAAGCCCTAGCACCAACTGTTCAAAAGTTATGGCCAAGGTTAAAATTTTTCAAAAGTAGGTCAAACTCCAAGGTTAAGGTCAAAGAGTCAAAATTAATGGTGCCCAAGGAAGGTCTTGTCACAAGGAATACACATATTTAATATGAAAGCCTAAGCTCCAACCATTCAAAACTTAAAATTATGGCCAAAGTTAAAGTTTTTTAAAAGTGGGTGAAAACACCCACGGTAAAGGTAAAAAATATATGTACCGTAGGAAAGGTTTTATCACAAAGAATACATGTGAAGTATTAAAGCCCTAGATTCAACCATTAAAAAGTTATGGCCAAAGTTAAAGTTTGGTTAAATTTTGCAAAAATGGGTCAAATGCCAAGGTCAAGAGGTCGAATGTGTCGGTACATAAAGAGAGGTCTCATCACAAGGAATGCACATGTGAAATATGAAAGACATAGCTCCAACTAATCAAAAGTTATAGTTTTTACAGACAGACAGACGGACGGAGAGAGCAAAAACTATATGCCCCCGAAACTTCAATTACAGAGACATTAAAATGTAATTATTTTACTTACTCACTTTAATATAAAATCCAGGAGTTGTAAGGTTCAAGTCACGCTTGAGATTTTGCCAAAATATAATATTTGAACTAACAATATATTTCCTATCAACTAAGCAACTACAGGTTTGTTAAATAACATTTCTCATCCAATGATCAGGGTAACCACTGATACAACTTCCTGACAATCATCTTCCTTTTTTCATCTCATTTTTTGTCAACACTTAAAGTATCCACTAAATAGGTCAGCATTTAGAAACTGTAATACTACTTAATATCTATCACCATGCCATGGTACTCTTTTTGTACCTCTTATGTATTGAAAATAAATTAGGTACAATAAGAAACCAACGGATGTATTTGCAATACCAGAAACATTTTCCTCTGCTTTCTATGCTGTCGTTTCTTTTATGTTTTGTATTCAACCTTCAAACAGATATCACTCCATAATAAAAATGATATCAAACCAGTATGAATCAAGTTTCCTTCCAATAGAGTCAGCAGATGTATGCAACTGGTTTACCACATGATTAATAAGTCACACAGGAACATTTCAGTTTTATTGGTATATTTTTTTTTTTATCTAGAGCTGAGACAAGTCACTAGAGAGAACGAGAACCTGTGACGAGGGCACAGAGTTTACCAGATACACTGTATTATACACACTCACACCAAATCTAATACTGTCTACTGATCAGGCTCACAAGATTACATAATCTATATAGGTCACTTAATGACTCTCACAGAAAAACATCAACAAAATAAAAAAAACTGCCCTATAGGTATGCATCATAACCTCTTCCCTTCAACAAGCAAGTATACTATATATATATATATATATAATATATATTATAAATTTGAAACTTTATATTCTATCTTGTAAAAATTTATTTTATGTTTATCGGAATGTACCAGTAGGTTATCGATTTAAACTCCCGGATTTTCATTTCTATATCTGTTTTTCTCTTCTACATCTTTAACCCAATAAACCCTGACTCTGTACCAAACTATTATGCAAAACAAAAATTAACTCATTTATTTCAGATTTAATAGCAATTCATAATAATTTGAAGAAGGGGATAAATATATAAGATACAATCTTTCAGCAATCAACAGTAATTTTTTTTTCAAGTATCACTACAAAGAAGAAGAAATTAGACAAATTGCACAATCATTAAGTCAAAATTATTAAGAGCAGAAGAAATGTTCTATACAAAAAAAGAAATATTGAAGAAAATTACGATAAATTATGATAAACTGAATTAACCACTGCTCCTACTACTATAATAACAGGTCAAAGATTGTCTTTTCATCTGACCAGTATGCTGCGGTATTTTGTGACGGACCCTAAGACATGCAATCGCACAAGGTCCACCCTTACAAACAATAAGCAGTGTGTGCAGACTAACTAACGAGTTCAAACAGGCTAACAGCAAGGGGAATAACTCCTGTCAAGTCACCACATATTGCTACTGTAGAAAACTAGTACACTGTTTACACGCAACAACAAGATTGGTAGGTTATCTATCAATAATCCAGTTTGCATTCAATATAGTATTTTATATATCATTTTTACATAAACGACAACAAAAAATCCTAAAATATAGCACTATTAACATTTCTTGCAAAAGCAGACATACAGAATCTGCTCATTTTTGTTAAAAAAGCTGAACTGAGGATTTAGGAATGACTGAACATAAAAAATAATAATATAGCAAAACCTGTTTACTTTGGTAAATTGTACTGCATCATAGCAAAAATTAGACAATATTCTGCTTTGAAAAATTAGTCCTGAATCGTTGTGAAGATGTAAACATATTACCCAATGTCCAACACTGCTGTGTTTAACATTTTCATTTGTGATTTGCATGAAGGAGCCAGATATATTATATACATATGCGATATGAAAAGAACATGACATCTCATTAGAACACATGTACTCTAGTGCAGGTATTCTAAGCCTGAGGGAAATCAGGCTCTCTCTTTCACTCAACATTAATGACTACAATTTCACCGCTGAATAGAAACATACCGATAGCAACCAACAATTTACAGTGGTGTTTATCAGAATTCTGAATGATAAACATTTGTAACATTATATAACAAATCCAACATTATATTATCACTTAGAAATTCACCACTATTAAAAGAGACCTGAAGATATCAGTATTATAGAGAACCGTAATGCATTACATCAGTAACTTTCAGTTTGACATTACAGCATGTTGAACCAAGACCTCCGGAAATAGGTGTAATTGAGCAAGTACGAAATGTTAGAACATGTGGGTCTGAATGAAATCACTCGGTCTATGACGGAGGTACCACTTCCTGTCGAAATTAACACTGGTGTCTATCCTCTGTCCTCCTGAAAAAACACAGAAAACTGTCAGTAAACGAGTTACCATCATTTTGTAAAATATCTAAATGTTTTTTCCCTCATTTTTGCCCCTTCCTGCTAAATTGTACTTTGGCAGTTCATGGTAATAAAATTTGGATATACATGTATGTAAATGCTCCCAGCTAGACATATCTGTTTAAGTCTTATTTGAAATTGAATGGATCCACTGCCTTGTTTTGTAACCAAAATTTTGTATGCAAACCAAATCCGAACTGTCAAGTCAAAGTTCAGATCAAGCTGAATGTCTCAAACATTGGCAGAGTGAAAATGTTCTCAAGAAGAATCTGTTTGGCAAGTCATTCTAAAAATTCCTTCATGGCAAGAAAAGCTAACTGGACAAAAGTTCACTGTTCTAAATATTGTGACCTTGTAAAAATGGCCTTGATTAAGACTCCATAAACATCCATTTAGGAAAATGAAATAAATAGCACAGTAAGAAAATGCAATGTCCAAATACTTCTAACAAACTTGAATTATCTCACCATAGAGCTTTTTTATTTAAATTCATTTATTTTTTTAAATGAAGATTTTCTAGACATGTGCTAAGTTAAGAACTTACAGATACGAGTTCTACTGTACTTACATCCTCTGATGAATTAGGTCTCAGTCTCTTCAATATGCTTTCTATTGTGCTCCTCCTGTGTAAGATTTTAACACTTTTATAGAAAGTTTATTCAATACTGTACGCATTTGAGATACAGTCCCTGAAACGTTCTACTTTCCCATTTTTCCGTTCGCTCACCGTTCGTTCACCGTTCGCTCAGCGTGCGTTCACCGTTCGTTCACCGTGCGTTCACCGTTCGCTCTCCGTTCACAGTTTTGCGTTCAGCGTTCACCGTGCGCTCGCGTTCACCGTTCACAAAGCGTTCACCGTTCGCTCTTCGTTCGTTCACTTTGCGTTCAGCATTCACTTATCGTTCAGTCTTCAGTGTCATTCGGAACTCCGAAGTGAAAGGACTTATCTTTTTTTAAGTAAGGATTTACAGGTTTTGAATTTAATAAATAACCTATCGTGTTTAAAGAATCATTATTTTATGGAAAAAAAAATTATCTACAATATTTATTTTTATTATTCTAACTTAGCTGTTAGATTATTAATTATTTTTTTTTTATATAAAATTTATCCGGAAAATAAATGTTGTTGTAAGTACATGTATGTACCTATGTAGAACGATGCTGAAAAATTAAATTTAAATACTTGCAAAATACTGCTACTTCAAGCACTGCAACATTTTGTTGTTATGTTAAAGACGACAAATCGTTAATGGATAGATAATAATCGAAGTCAATTTACCAACTGCAGCAAAAATACGAAAGTATTTATTTCTATCATATCTTTTTTTTCAAATAATACAGAAATGCATGTTAGAACTTGTTCTGAGAATGATAAACAGTACTGCGGATATCCAGTTAAATAAATATCTTTAGAGCGAATTAAATTGATAGTGTGGTTTAAAAAAAATATTTGTTTAAAATGTAATACATTAAAGAATTTTTTTCTACTTTACATATATAAAGTCTTTAATTAGATAGAGAGAAACGCCTTTATAACATGATTATCATTTATATAACCAAGGTGATTCTCCAGTAATGATATTTTTCACCGTAACTTTATATGTTTGTCATTCGATATTATTAAGAGCCCCCCCCCCCCCTTTCCCCTAAATCGGTTACTTAGTTAGTATTTCAAGTACATTTTAATTAACATTTAAAAAGAAGTTAATGTGTTTTGTAGCACAAAAATTTCAGTCTCAAAACAAACATGCATCTAAACAGAGTAATTAGACAATAGTAGTTCAAAATACATGTGCCGGCAGTGATATTTTAAATTGGCAGGGAGTATGTTTCAAATTCAAGCGGCTTAATCATTCCAAGTGTTTATTCCCAGTGTAATTTATTCATTTATTTATTTATTAGAAATGTTGGAATCAGATCTAGAAATGATAAGAAAAAATGTTAAAACTTCTTGGAAATACTAACACTTTGCCTTCGATGTGACGAGACTTTCACACCTGCACAGTGTCGAATGATTTTGATTGACAGGTCAAGCACGTGGACTTCGTGTGAACTTGAAGCAGGACAATAAAAACTGATTATGACTGTAAAACAAATGGATTTGTTGATTTAAAAATGGTTACTTTCACTGCCTGATATATTTATTAAAAAAAATTAGAATTTTTGTTTGATATAGGTACAAACATTTGAGGAAGGGGTGGGGTGGGGCTAAAACCGAATCTCTCTCTTTCTCTCTCTCTCTCTCTCTCATTTGTCTGTTTAATAAAAACTATGACAGCATATTACTTAAATATCAAGTTTTGAAAATTTAATATAAAACAAATAATATGATTAATTGCCTCTTTGTATCATCTTGTCCTAGTATAATCACGGCCGGGACATGTCTACAGATACATGTAGAAGTCTGCTCAATAAATCATCATAAAAAATAAGACGACACATAAATATATTATTGCATTAAAATTTTAAAATACGAGTGTATTTATGTAATAGGTCCACATACCTTTGTAAATTTTTTTTATCTTATTATGTTAAACGGAATCTCCTTGTATGGTTGTTACAACCGTTGCAATTCATTCTACAAGTCCGTAGTTTTCTCTTCTAAAATCCACATTATTTGTAATGATTTTATATATCAAATAAGAATAAACATTATTTTTTATTTTACAACTAGATTAATTTCATCTGTTATGCTACAGCGTTCGGTAACAATCACAATGTTTTACAGCGATAAAAATCGTGTTATTAAATCGTGTTATTAAAAAGTTGAATTTAAACATCGTACATATGTGCAGAAAATATTGTAAGAAACTTAAATTAATTTTACTTAATGTGCATGTATCGTCTTTTTGGACAATTTTCATTGATTCGTTTATTTATTTATTATTTATTTATTTTTTTAGCACAAGGTATTAGAATACAATAGAATAGTTGCAATGCAAGGAAAAGATCAGAGGCATTCCGAATAAATCGTTCATCTTGCGTTCACCGTTCGTTCACCGTTCACTTTGCGCTCGCGTTTGCGCTCCGTTCGCGTTCTGCGTTCGCTCACCGTTCAGCGTTTACACATCGTTCACCAAGTTGCGTTCATCGTTCACACATTGTTCACTCACCGTTCGTTCAGCGTTCGCTCACCGTTCAAGTGGGAAAGTGGAACGTTTCAGGGACTGTATGACGTGAATAGAGGCCCCCGTGTTGATTATTTCAGTAATTATATGGTTACAATCAGTGACTAAATACATGTATGTTTTTTTTACCGAGAAGTATTCAAAGAAAAGCAACATTACTGTAAATGTGTTGCATTGTTGAAATTTTTTCCCCCTCATCATGGAGGATAAGCAAAAATTCAAAACTTTTTTGAACAATATTTTAATCTTTAATTAAATGAGTTTGTTAATGCCCTGTCTAGGAGATGTTACATGAGTTATTCTGTGATGATGATACAGTCATGAACTACAATGACATTGTACAGAAATTACCATCTTAGAAAGTCTTACTTTGAGGTGATGCCTCCTCCAGGTGGAAAGCCGTCCATTACCTCATTAAGCATGTGCATTATATAGGGTAAATCTGCCTCTGCCATATCGGGCTGGGCTATAATTTCTAAAATAGAAAACACAAAATGTTCAAGCTAAAAAATGTTAAAGTTAAAAGTACAACATTAAAATCTCTTCAGCTCTTTCACCACTAGAATGACGACCAATGACTTATCAAACTTTACCCTTTATTGTACAGCAGCATACATAATCCCTCATGATAATATCGTATCATACACTTTCGCCAATGCACAAAGACCAAATTATGTTACTATGGACTCTATTTACCTTTAATTTTTGCCTCTATTTTTGCATCCAGCTCCTGATCTTGTTTGACAGCTTCCTCTGTTGGTCTGGGAGCTCCCTCGAAAGCTACTATTACAATACTCATATTATCTCGGCTACCCTGACAGTGAAGAAAAAAACAATGCATAATAGATGTCAATGTGATATGCTCTTTTTCCATTCAAGCATGTTAAGTAGCTTTATAATACTTGTAATGGGAAATAAGTCTTTCAACACTTCATCAGAAGTGTAAAGACAATATATATCTTTGCAACCCTGCTGTTATGAATTAAAAAATAAAGGAAGTCTTTTTAATTACTCATAACTGAAATTGAACTGCCTGTCATATCACAAAAAAACACTTTCAGCATCTGACAGCTACAGAAATAGGCATAACATGTTCTAATTTCAAAATTGATCTTGTTTTTGAATATCTTAAATTGAAGAAACTTGACCAAGATCCAATATTAATAAAATATTTGCCATGAACAACTTTTGTGCATCAGACCCTTACATTTCGAAAAATGTTTTATCATCATGATTATAGACAGGTTGAAATCGATACTAATTAATACAATTTTTGTCAACCTATCTGGTTGGTAAAATAAAGCTTCTAGAACACTCTTCAACCTACCAAACCTAGCTACAATGAGTCATGCACTATCTGGCCTCACATGCCTCAATTCATTTCCTTGTTGTTACAATTTGACTGAATAACTATTTCAAAATACTTATTTGTTGTTTATCATATGAATTATGAAAAAAATCAAATTAGTTATTTTAGAGACAAATTTCTAAAGCAACCAAAGGAGATACTAGTTTTGCCATCTTAGACATAATTCCTGAATGATTTTAACTATTTAATATTGCATTTTTTAAACTGAATAATACCTCGAGAAAACAGCTATATCAGGGTTGTCCCTTAGAATTGAAATAGCACTAAGCAGGGGACATTAAAAAGAAGAAGGGGGTTTTGGGTTCCTCCCCTAACAGGGGGTTAAGGGGGAATACCAGAATAAATGGGGGATTATAACATTAAAGGCGGGGAAATTCCCAGCCCCCAGGTCTTAGAGACAACCCTGTGTACACAAGTAATTTCATTCAAACCTAGTGAGATACTTAGCAAATTAAATGGTATACTTTATTTTAAAAGCTATCAAGCAAACAATAACATTACCGCTGTTTTGTGTATGAACAAATAACTTCTTAAAGCTGTTATACCTTATGAAGACATGTATCTACCACCATATTACAGATCTGCTCCAAGCTGTCTGTTACTCTCATCCTGCTCCTAATAAAATCACAAAGTTCATCATTACTCATAACATCCCAGATCCCATCACACGCCAGCACCAGAAATTCATCCTTATCGCTCCTGGATTCCGTTGAAATCTCAGGCTCGGGAGACACCAACTGTTCACAGGGACCCATCCCCTGCACATTTTTGTATTCAAAGTCTCCTAAAGCTCTTGATACTGCCAGGGAACCGTTGACTCTCTGAATCATAACGCTGCCTCCTGCTTTCTGTATGCGCTCTTTTTCTGCCGGGTTGATTGGTTTATGATCACAGGTTGTGAAATGACATTTGCCGTCACGAGAAAGCACTGCTCGTGAATCTCCGCAATTGGCAAAAAATATATGGTGAGGTGACACTATGGCACATACAGCAGTAGATCCACTTTTATCCTCTCCGCTCACCATCTCAGGCATTCCACGGATCTTCTCATCCAGCTGCAGGAAGCCAGTTTTTATTCCTTTGTTGACATCCTCCAAAGATGGTTGAATCTCTGTGCCTTCTTTCAACTCCAGCTTTCCTTTAAAATCATCGTTTGAGACTATTTCTTGTAGTAACTGCTCTGCGCATGTTGCTGAAACTTTAGCACCTGCATGACCATCGAAGACAGCGAAGAAGGACCACTGTTTAAGTCCATAGGGCAGTCCCAGTATGGCTGTGTGGGCGTCCTCCATCTCCACCCTCCAGCCCTGCATGCTGCTGAGGCCATAACGCAGGGTGTTACCTACTCCCCCTTCATTGTGTTTATCTGTCTTTGGCTTGTCCAAAAATGCTCCCATTCTACCTGAAAAATATAGTGTCATCAATATAGTTAATGCATTTAAGGTTACATTACACTGATAAAATATTACCTTCTTCAACTCCAAACCCATTATCTCAAATTTTATCACAATAAGTTTACAGGAAAAGCAATGTTATATCATAGTTTAAATTGCTCTACAGACATTACTTTTAATCGTCTAGCATAGATTAACACCATGCTTCCATATTTACAAGAGAATTTACTACTACAGTACTCCAGGGATTTATCTAGCTATTTTATTTGACTACCCCTTTCTCATAAAGGGGGAAATATGAGAAAGGTTGCTGGACATTAGAGCAGGAGGTGTGAATACACTATGGGAGTCAGGGGGCATGTTCCCCTGGATATTTCCAGATAAATGTTGCCAAAATCTGCATTCTGAGAGCTAATCTGGGGGACATTTATGGAACTATCATAAATAAGTAAATTTTACATGTTACATGTATGTTTAATAGGAAATTTTCTGTAATTAAAAGGGGAATTTTGACATTTTTTCCAAAGGGGAAAGGTACCGTTTACCGGTAGTTAAAACAGCATTGATAAATCCCTGTACTCTGTGAGGCAGAATGTTAATTCCTGGTCCCAAGAAAGAGTTACAGTAATACTGCATTCATCCTATCAAGTGCACTGGCCTCTTAGAAAATTAGAAAGGGGGGGCATATTCTGTCTGTTATAAAATTTTCATCGTATTAAAAGACAGAGGTGTAACGATACAGCAATACATTGATTGTATTGATCGCAAGGGCTCATGATACGCGTATCGTATCGCCATGTACGTATCGTGATATAGTACAAGATAATTTTCATTGTTTTGTTTGAAACTTCACATACAACCTAACAAATTTTAATGTTTTAAAATGCCTGAAAAAAAAGATAGCAAAGAAAAAATACAATGTCAAGACTATAAATCCACTTTTTATTAATTTTGGTCAGGGGTATCAAGATATTCTTTTTATATTTTCTATAACTATGGAGGTTAGCAAAGAATAATATGTTAAGATAATGGTTAATTCAATTGTTGACAGCTGTATCATATGATACATGTTGTATCGCATGGCTGTATCGTGATATGTATCATATCGTTAGGTAGTTTGCGATACACAAGCCTATTAAAAGACATGTTTTGTATTTAAGACAAATAGAAACATACTTTCTTAAAATCAGTCCCATCAAAAATGCTTCTTAAAAGTTGTATATATACCCCTACATTCTAAAAATAAAATGTTACAGCAAGTTAAATTAATGTATTATGAAAGCATGAACAATCTAAACACTATCATTATATTTAGAAATTAGATAATAAATTTTTAAATAACATCAATGCATAGTGATCCAATCCTGTTAATTTAAATTACCGTAATTTTGGAGTATACGTCGATGGGGTATAAAGGTCGAAGGGCTCATTTTTAGCTATAAGGTAAGTAGTATGTATTTGAGGAAGGGAACCCCTATTCTTAGTGGATTGAAGGTCCCAAGGGATGCATATGGAGTAGGGGTGCTCAATAGGCAAAGATGATACATATTTTTTATCTAAATATAACACAGCTTTTTACAACTTCCACTAGAGTACAATTTGACATACTGATTCAAAATGAACAATCTTTCTCATCTTCTTTACACACATTTAAATGAATTAATGCATCAATTATTCAAATTTTAAAGAATGTTAATAATAAGTTTTTTGACAGGTAATATAAATACTTTTATAAAAGGATGCATTTCTACAAAAAAGGAAAATTTTTTCTGAATATCAGCAGACAGATAATGTAGAAATCTTTCCTTTTCATTGTATGAGGAACTGATTTATGAAAGGCTCTGGAAATTAAACGCCTAAAATCAAGAGATTTTCACAACTTAAGACTTGGTCCTTGTTGAGTGTTCCTCAAAATTTCATTTTGCATATTTACATAGCATCATTTGCATGAATCGAGATTAATAGGATTTATTTGGGAACCATTTCCTGAGCCCTGCAGATTAGTTTAGAGAAATTTTACAAAAATGAGAACATTTTAGATTGAAACAATACTCACAAATGTTTTTACTGTCAAATTTGGACAAATGGATTTGCACAAGTTTATTGTTAAAAAAGACTGAATGGTCTATAGTCAATATGAATGACTGATACATTTGATAGTCTGAACTTTGATTAAAGGTTACATTAAATAGTTACCCACACAATACTCATAAAAGTGAAAGATATCCTTATAAATGAAAAAAAAAAAAAACAACTTTCAATACACATCTGCAACACCAACTTCTAAACATACTTTAGTTGGAAAATTCCTCCACCAAGTGCACAAGAAATAAGAGTAATGTCCTTTGATAATGTTAAAAGATAAACCAGTTGGGTTTAAAAAGAATTCAGAATATTTAGCGACTATCAATATTACAATTTTTTATCCATTGTCACTGATGCAATGCCTTCAGCTTTGAATTAGTATTTGATGGTTGGCGACTATCATAACTTCCCTCCACTTTGGCGGGGTTGCAAATAACATTTAACACCTTAGGGGCCATCTAGGCCCCCAACTTCATAAGTTTTACTAGAACACATTGACATTTTGGGGTCCACAATTTTCTGTTCACTTAGTAATTTGCAAGTGACCCTGACTTTGCTACATCATAGCTTTATGTGGCATATTTTAACGACATTGAGCCACTCAGGGTCTGTCCAAAAACACAAATTATTTTTAACTAAAAAGGACACTCCTTAATTTCTAACTCCACATGTGACATTTCCATGACTTTATGAAATTCCATTTTAACTGCACAACAATTATATGTCATAAACATATTTTCAGAATTCTGAAATGTTGGTACCTGTAGAAAACACTTATGACTGTAACATAACAACATAAAATATACGATTCTTAATAAAATTATGTCGTTCCCTCTTGAAAGCCCTGACATACTTTATTATAAATGGTCAAATAAACAAATAACAAAAGCCATGTATTTTGAAACACACTTCAAAATTGAGACCACGATAGGGAATTTGTTTTAAGTTTGGCTAAGAAGAGTGTGCAAGATAATTTACCTAATTTACACTTTGTCAATCAGAGATCTTGTTTATGGAATCCTTTCTGTAGCAATCTTTGTAAATAATGTTAACATAACTAGTTCTCCGCGTCAACTGCCACTTGACTTGAAAACCAACGCCATGAAATTAAGCAAACGGTGTCGCGCATTTTACAAGCTTGAATTTCAGGCAATGCTGCATGTGTAGACGTTTCTTACGAAATCGCCTATCAAAACAATTTACCGACTATTCGAAATTTGTGAAAAATAACATAAATGTGTCTTAGCTAGTACAATTCAGTCGATTTTTCTCGTGGGCACTACTGACAACCAAAGGTCAATATGGCTTCTGCCATAAATGAGCATGCTCAAAGCCACGGGAATAAATCCCAATCGCTAAAACGTTTTATAGCACGGGTTATTCACACAGATTTTTCAAGCGTTTTGTGATATTCACAAAATGGAAAATGACGTCATTTTTTAAAACGGGAAATAAATTGAAAGAATATATAACTGCGTCGAATTAAATTAAAGGCTATTTTAAATCCCAAATAAAATGATTTAAACTTTTTGTGCCATTGTTAAGCATTTTCCTTCGAGAGAAATCCATTTTGACCTTTTTGTACTTTACTCAAATTAACTCGTACTATATAATTTCTTAAAATATTTAACCTTCGATATCATTCCTATAATATAGATTAATTGCCTTTGCAGGCCCGTAGGAATCGAGATATATGTAATAATATAAAAAACAAAACTAATGTGCCCTCTCAGTCATAACTTTTGGACATAGATTGGTAAAGCTAAAAAATATATCTGTTACATTACATAGTATATAGTAGATAAAATTGTATTTACCAATTTAAATGAAGATGGGGATTGCCAATGCAACTGAAAACTTTTTTTGAAAAAAGCAAAATGTTGAGCTATCAAGAAAACATACATATGTATCATAATTTCATACACCCAACTAATTAATTTTTTTTTAGCACCAATTAACATTTACTTTTGGGTCTGAACTCTGAAATCGATATACTCTCTACCATCTGCTCATACATCTGTAACATAAAGCGGTCACCCATCCAAGGGTTATACAGGCTCGCCGTGGCAATGCCTGAAATAGAGGGAGATCTAGACTCTACCGTGCGTCACTAGAAAAGCTTAAGCTCACTAAGTAAGGCAGTATAATTTAAAATTTGACTATATACCATCCGCTACACTTCCCCCTGCTCAGGGAAGCTTCAACCTGATGCTAAGCATGGGTTCTCTCTAAGTGTCTGGGCCTCTTTACCAACGGCAACCAATGCATGCCATCAACGGACACCAAGTTCGTACATGGACACAAAGTCCTAGTATACTTAGCCCTAGAGCTTCCTGAAGCAGACCTAGCTAGAACCTCTTCAGTTACAGCAACCCCCTGTCATCTACGGATACTTTAAGTCTGTAAATGGACAATAATATTTAAGTCTTAGCTCTAAGGCTTCCTGAATCAGGTAGTGCCAAACACCAGTCACTACACTACAACCAATTAATTTTGTAACACAAATCGGTCACCCATCGAAGGGTTATAAAGGCTTGCTGTTGCTTAACTTGCCTGAAATAGAGGTAGACTCTACCATATCACTTGAAAAGCTAGCTCACTAGAAAGGCAGCATAAATACCCTATATACTGTCTGCTACACATTCGCCTCTATTGCTGCTCGCATATATGACTAGCACTAGAAATAGGGTAATATTTTATAATAATTAAATGTCTCCGTTAATGTTTGTCCTTAAGGTAGATATTTAACTTAAAGAGACCTAGAACTATTATTACTTTAATTTGAAATAATCCTTGGAATATTGTTTTATACTTTAAAACAAAATGATGCGAGCCCATTGCAGAGATGTCCGAGACAACTGATTACACAAACTGATTGCAATAATTTTTCTTTTTTAACTCTTCAGCACTAAAAGTGTTGTTC